CCGCCCGGGGGGGCAAAAACCCCCCGGGGCCCCCCCCCCCCCCCCCCCCTTGCCCCCTTCCCCCCAGGGACCCCTTCTCAAGAGGAGACGACGAAAGACCCTCAGGTACCCTCTTGCACCTTTCACCCCGAAGGCGACGTGACCGTCTCCTCGGCCCCTCGAGGACGCCCGGTCCTCGTGGCATGGCCGGAGGAACATCGCTTCGCGAAGATCTTCCGACTCCAAAGAATGTGTTACGAGACACATTCTTCGTCGATCGAACCCCTCCAGAAGACCGGTGCTAAAAGATCGTCCCAAAAATCCGCCAGGATTCGGTCATTGCGAGAACCCTCGATGACCTCACCCACTCGCGGAAGGTCTCTTCTCTTCCCACTCCAGGGAGCACTCTCCCCCGTTTCCGTCCCCGGAAGGCTAGCAGACGACCCGAGATCGTTTCCTAAACTCTCTCGTACTCGAGCGGGAAGCCTACATGCACTTCCCGTGCTTGCCAGAGAGGAGAGGGGTGCCTGCAGGATTTCACCGCCCTACCCACTCAACGTACGAGGGTCGTTTCAAAAGTAATGCAAAATTTACTCTTATTTCAATATAATAATTTAAAAAATTATTTCGCAAAACGACCTTACAGCCCTTGAATATAATCGCCATCCTTTCTTACGATCGCCTCCCGACGCCTCGGTAAGTTTTGCACACCCGTCAGCAGTGTCCATGCGGCTTCTGGTTTTCTCTCCCTGGTCGTATTCGTCTCTTCTCCGACCACCTTCCTCTCTCGAATCTCGAGGGACGCTATCGAGCATACTGGACGATAGAATAATTCGTGCTCAAATGTAATGGATAAATGCGTGGTGAACAGGGGGGGGGAAGAGCCTCGGAGCGTTCTTGCCACCTCAGGCTGCTTTCATCGGGAAGGCCAACAGACTCATTGCGGACTTGTGAGAATCTGCAATGGAAGGCACTCCCACGGTGGGAGACGTTCTTCGAGGGTCACCGTTTCCCGATGCCACACGGAAATCGACGGCGAGTGGCCGGGGTGATCCCGGATCGAAAGAGTGGCAGCCGAGAGACAAGAAGCCCAGGAATGCTACACGTCTTCGAACGATCGAGACGAGCCTCCGGACTCTCGTCTCGAACGATTCGGTGCTCGAGAGGGTTTCCAGAGAACGAGTCTGCGACGAAGAGGTGAAACCCTCTTGTCGGCTGGAGGAGTCGGGTGCCGTCGACCGGGTGGACCGAATCCGGTCCGGTTGTTTCCGGCCGCCGGACGAGCATGAAACGATCGGAGGGTGTCCAAGAATTTCGCGTTCGCGTTGGCAAGGGGTGCGTCAGACGACTCCGAGATGCCGCGCTTTCGGTCCTCGAGACGGGGGACACGGCCAGCACATCGCGCGAGACGACGCGGAATCGAACCTCGTGGCCGTGAGGTTAAATTCCACCTTATCTCTTGCAGACGCGAGCAGGGCGGCTCCTGCCGGGAGTCACGCGTCCCTCCGGATGCCGGGAGTCGTTCGTCCTTCGGGATGCCGGGAGTCGAGTGCTTCCACGTCGTGCCGTCTTTTCCCGGAGTCCTCCGAGAGCCATCTCGGGACCCCGTGTGGGTCCTAACGAGGCAACGGCGAAGAGCTCATCTCAAAAAGGAAAAAAAAGAGGTGATCGGTTCAGCCGGGCCGGCTCGACGGATTTTCTTTTAAACGGAAAGCGATGAATTTACAGCGTAGATATGGATCAAAACGATTGGAATTTCTATCTTTATTTCCAATTTATCCTTATTCCTATTTTTCGCAACCAGAATAGCGGGAACAGCACGAAGAGAGGCTATTTTTCTTGCACGACTCGAAGATGAGAAGAATGTCGGCAGAAATGCATCGGCCGGTTAACGAACGTATATCATGGGAGCCTTTTTATGATCTATTAAATACAACTAAGACTTATGGTTAGTTATTTGCACCGAAGTTCATTCTCCGGACGAGAGAACGCAAGTATCACCCGCTTGAAGTGGCCGAGGGGGCAGAGGGCGCGATTAGATTAAATTCCCTCTCCGAACCCCGTGAAGGACTCTACGGACCCTCTTCTCCACCAAGCCCCCCCCCCCCCCCCCCCCCCCCCCCCCCCCCCCCCCCCCCCCCCCCCCCCCCCNGGAAAGAAATCATGGCTTGAAGTAGAGGGAGAACTAGGAAGAAACATGGAGACATATAAACTGATTCATTCCACATTCACACACACACACACACAGACACGTTTGAACGAGACAGCTCTTGCGGCCTTGGCTCGTTCACTCCTCGTTGTGTTGTGGCCCGTGCTGCGCGAGTCCTCGCCCCTCTTGCCTCTCTCGCGTCTCTGCCGAGGATGAAGGGGCTTCTGGTGATGCCGCCCGCCCTGGCCTTCATGGTCAAGGCTTCCATCGTCCTCGCGGTCCTCCTCGGCGTCTACATCAAGTTCGTGGTGAAGGACCCCGAGCCTCCCGTCTTGGAGGACGTGTATTGGGGGCCCGGGGAACCCCCCGCCAAGCCCGACCTCTCCGTCAGACCCTTCGTCGTCTCCTTCCCCGAGAAGGTAACGAGAGCCTTTCGGCGTACGTCGAGCGCTCGAAGGCTCGTTTGCTCTTGCAGAGTTCGGCACGAACGAGAAAGGCCGACACCGTGGCGTCGTGTGTAGGCGGCGCCACTCGAGACGGCAAAAAAAAATATTTACGTATATAACAAATAAATATATGTATTGATATGTATAAATACAAATATAAATAAAAGGAATAAATATAAACAAATCAAAATGAGTAAATAAACATGTACTTATCCATTTAATTCTGCGTATATCGACGACAGGGATTAGAGGAGTTGAGGCGCCGGCTGGAGCTCGATTCCCGGTTGGTGCAGGCCCTCGAGGGCCAGGGATTCCGCTACGGCTTCAACGCGGCATTTCTCGAAGAGGTCCAACAGTACTGGCTCGACGAGTACGACTGGCGGAAGGAGGAGGCGCGCCTCAACGCCTTGCCGCATTTCAAGACGTACATCCAGGGTCTCAACGTTCACTTCGTCCACGTGAAGCCGGGGGCGGGGAAGGGGAAGGGGAAGACTTGCCCCGTGCTCCTGCTCCACGGCTGGCCCGGATCCTTCTTCGAGTTCTACAAGGCGGGTTCCCGAGTCCGTCGTCTCGACGGTGGCGGGGACGAGAGAGGGAGTCACGTTTCGTTTTCGTGCAGATGGTTCCGTTGCTGAAGGACGTGAAGGAGCCGTGTTCGTTGGAGCTGGTCATTCCGAGTCTACCGGGGTATGGCTTTTCGGACACGGCCGCGAAATCCGGGCTGGGAGCCATCGAAACGGCACGAATCATGATGACTCTCATGCACGAAAGACTCGGCTTTTCGACCTTTTACGTCCAAGGAGGTGACTGGGGGAGCCTCATCGCCACGGCCATGGGCGCGATCTACCCGGACAAGTCGGTTTTACTTCGAGAGGTACTGTAATTCCGAAGTACACTCTGACTTGTTTTTGTTTTTTTCTCTCTCTCTCTGGGTGTAGGGTGAAGGGGATACATCTGAACATGTTGGTCGTGAACACCCCCGGAGTGACGTTGAAGTGGCTCCTGGGGCACTTCGTTCATCCGTCCTTGGTCTGCGACATCCCAGACAGGTGGAAGCTGTATCCCATGAAGGAGAAACTCTCCTACATGCTCCAGGAGACGGGATATCTCCACATTCAGGCCACAAAGCCGGATACCGTCGGTGAGTTAAAAATAAAAATAAAAATCTGGAGTCTCGAGAGTGGCATGACCGCGAGATGCGCACCCCCCGGCGGCAGGCGTGGGACTGAGCCAGAGCCCGCTGGGACTCGCCGCTTACATCCTGGAGAAGTTCAGCACGTGGACGAACAAGAGCAGCATGGGGGAATGGGACGGGGGGCTCAAGTCCACCTTCGCTCTCGACGACCTCCTCACCAACGTCATGGTCTATTGGATCTCCAACTCCATCACCACCTCCATGAGGATCTACAGCGAATCCTTCAGCCCCGCCGCTCAGGGTTTCGACAGGTACCACGATCCCGAGTCTCTCGAGGTCGAGCTCCGATTTTCTTAAATGGATTTTATCGAGCGATGACGTCACTCTGGCAGCGTGCCGGTCCGAGTGCCGACGGGGATGGCGGCCTTCCCGGACGAGATCTTCGTCCACCCCAAGAGTTTCATGGAGCATCGGTATTACGACATCGTGACGTACGATGACATGCCGCGAGGGGGTCACTTCGCGGCGTTCCAGGAACCTCAAATTCTTGCTCAGCATTTCCTCAAATTTCTCTCACTAGTCGAAAAACGGGAATGAACGAGTCGTGCACGCTGCCTGTTTTATCATTCGCGTTGATTTCGATGAAGATGTTGCAGAATGCCGAAGAGAGTCGACTTCTCTGGCACATGCCATCCGAATGCAGGGAAAGCATCTCCCTGCATTTACCGTGCAGCGGACGGCGCCTAACAGTGCCGGTTACCTATCACGGGGAAAAACAAGGAAGAAGAGGAAATCGTGAATTCAGGCATTCCTTCTGAAGGAATGCTGAATCCCAGCCGTCGCGACGGCTCGGGGCCCAAGCGAGCCACGCAGTTCTTCCGCGTCGTCTTCAGCGACCGATAAAACCCGAGTCTGGATACTACTGTCGACGCACGCAGGCCTTTTTTCCTTGAAAGCGGCCGGAAGGAGTCAATATTTGGTCATTTTTATTTAACTCTTTTTAGAGGCAGTGTCAGTTTCCGATGAGTCGAATTTCGGATACCTCGAATCGATCGATCCTGAGAGTTCGAGTTGATGAATATCCCCAGTATCAACACATTCACTGTTATTGTCTCAAGTTGTTAAAAAAAAAAGTTATGCAGACCAACACCGAGTTAACTCGATTTAGCTCTAGGTATCCATGAGTCGCTGTCTGGCAACAGACGTTTCTCATTCTAATGCGCTTAAAAGAAAGAAAATTGCAAAATTAGAAAAAAAAAAGTATTTGGCAAAATGGCAAACTACTGTTGACAGGTTTTAGAGACAGTCAGCAAATGTGTCAAAATCGTCTAAGAGCAAAATGACATCTCATCTGACTCCCACGTGTTATCGTTCGTGAACGGTGCACGAGAGGTCTTCCTCTTGAGTCCTTGGGGGCCCAAAGAATGCAAGGACTTCGAATTCATATGGCAAGTTTTCCCTCCCAAGCCTGTTCATACCAGGATGCATGTAGAACATATGAGATCTCTGCAACGTGTCAGTTTTCACTAGGAACGCACCGATCCAGGATTAGCCGATATCGATCTCGGTGTCTTGGTATCGGACGATTCGAAACCGATACCGATACAGACAGTTCCCAGTGGCTGTCAGAAGTGAAACCGCAATACAGGACCAGACCTTTGTTGGCCTTATGCTACCTTTGGCATGGAAGGGAAAAAAAAAAATCCTCGGACATTAATGACCCAACATTCAAGATTCCTGTCATTTATTTAGCTCCGGAGACATTTACGTCGGCCGATAAATTAACTTCTTCAGTATGGGCCAAAACTTCCCCCGCCGTTCACTGGGCCAGCCGAGAATACGTCGGACTTAAGTACTACGAACAAAGGACGATCGGTGCTCGAGGGGAGAGCCGGAGGTGAGATGGACGTGAGCACAAAGTGCACCTGCGCAAACCAGTCAGCGCAAGAAGGCAGGAGACGGGACGGATTGGGGGAGTGGAGTGAATGTGTACGTCAAACACTGGCCCATTCCATTTGTACAATGCCCTTCTCAAATCTCTCGCATTCCGCTTTAACCATGCCCAAACTCATCGTCCATCAGTTGGAGAATAACGAGAACTATGACGGACTTAAGGAGATAAACGATTTGGATCTCGGCGTATAGGGTAAGATAAGTAAATTTGCCGACGACACAAAGATAGGTTTTACCATAAGGGGGGAGAAGGAACGCTCGACCTCGACACGTGATATCGAAATGGGCGAAATCGCCTTTTGATGTCACTAACTACCTTGAACCTTGAAAGCCGTATGCCATTAGGAGTGGGTTTTTTTTCTTGAGACGTTCCCAGTGTTTACGCGCTGCGCATCAAGTATGGCGTGCGGCAAGGGAGAATCGGATCGGATCGGCAATATAGGTATCGGCCGATCCACTGAATATCACTGTACAAACATTTTCCGATGAAGACAATTCGTATTCTATCGCTGTTAAGAAGTGCACCGGAAAAGAGTGGTCGATTTCTAAAGCGAAAGTGCGTCGCATCGTCCGAGGAGTCGGTGAACGTCGGAAGGCTCGGGGGTGAAAATCCGCGAATGTCCTTTTCGGAGCAAGAACCTCATCCAGAAAGTAGAAGCCTGTGTCAAGCGAGAGATCTCGACCTCCCAGTGGGGCATTGCAAAAAAGTTTCAGGTGTCAGAAAGAACAGTGTCTAATACAACCAGGCGAGGTTTGAATCTACAAGGTGGGCGTAAAGTCTGGAAACACAGGATATACTCAATTTTTTTTCTTCGTTGCAGATAAACAATTTACTTAATCGGGTTCATCAGCTCTTGGTCTGCTCAAGCGAGCACTTGCACGCCGACACCTTAAGACTAGAACAGAGTTCTGGGAAGTTGTGATGGAAGAGTGAGAGAACTCGAACCTATGTTATTCAGAAAGACTTGACTAATTGGAAGTTGCGGTGCAGAGGCAATGCCGAGATGGATGGCCATCACATTGAACATGACCCGAGATAGAAAAAATAAAAACTTCTAAGTTAAAGCTCCCCAAACTCGTTTCATATCTCTTTAGGCACCCTTCTGTGGAATGTTCCTAAAAAGATCCTCCCTGGCACTCCACCAACTCGCATTATAAATATAATTTACGAATTATAAATGTATGGTAATAAAGTAGAGTATAAATGAGATGAGTATAAAAGAGTATAAAGTATAAATGTATGGTATGTGATGGATCCACAACCCAAGCGAGATCCTAATGCAAACGCCTAGCTCGTTTTAAGCACATAAAATGATTCCTCCATCCTCCTTTCCCACGAGCCAGTGGAGTATTTTATACGGGCGGGGGCTGGGACCGAGTCTGGCGGTAATTTTCTCCCGATATCGCTCGTGTTGGGTTTCGTGCCTCCCCTCTGTTGCCCTGCCTCACTAATCCTTCAGCCAAAATACGCCACTGCTACGAGCTCACCTTGCAGGTGGCACCGAATCTCCAAATTTTAAATTCACCTTAAATGATATCATAGCTTAACCGTTTATTCAGATGACATCGTAACCGATTCCTAGCATCCTCCCCAGTAGGTCACCCTTTCCATTCCACGAGCTGCGCGCCTTCGTGTAGAAACACTCGAACCCTGGGTCTCAGGATGGGACACAAGCACACGCAAAGAGGGCATGGAGAAACGTAATTTATTCCATTTATTCCAACCCAGCCATTCAAAAATAATTTATGAAGGGAATGCTCAAGACTTGATCCTGCACCTCTCAAGCATGAACTGCTAAAAATGATGAAAAATAAATTTTTGAGTACAGGATAGCAGCAGGTGGTGGACACATGAAATACTGGCAAGGATAGGATGAACAACCAAGTGGGAAATTAATTCTAAAGACCTACCACATTCATTTGAGAGACATCCTGCATAAGAATGGCATCACATTCAAAAAGCTACAAGATTCCCACAATAAGATGAAGATATAATAAATACACCTTCCACTCCTGTTTATCGTATCTTCTCGTGACATCACAGCAGTAACAGAGGGTAAAAAACAGTCACTGTGTGATCATTCCTTCCCGGCGACGGCAAAATATTGAGCGACGAAAACATAGGAAACAGAAACTAGATTGTTGCTTTGCTTAACAAGGATAGTTACACAGGTTCGTTGGAAAAGATGCGTGAAACAGATTGTGAAGCAGATTTCAAGTGGAAGTCAATTCCACGCTTCCCTTTGCTCCATGTTTGGAATCACAGTGTACAGGTCAGATTTTTTTCCATTCTGTAATCCTACTCCTTTAGTGTCTCAGCTTTCCTCGTCTTCCTCCCTTCTTTCCTGGCCCTAAACAACCAAAAACACACACACACACACACATTCAGTACCAATTAAAATAATTGTACTTTTCATACTAACAACCACAGTACTGATCTTGTACATTGTTCTTGTGATTGCCTTGCAAAACATCTATGGGAATAATTCCTCATATCAAAGATCACATTTGAAGGTAAGAACTAGTGTTTTGATATGAACAGAGTTGATTTTAAAATTCCTCCAGCATTCTAGAAGTATGAAGTTTCAAAGCATCTAGTTCAACAGGTTTCTAAAGTTCCAAGATTCACATGAGCCAATGGGAAGTCTGACATTCTTAGATTTATCTTTGGCCCATACTTCTGTAGTTCTAGTACTAGGAGTACAATAAATATGCAATTAACATAAAGAGCTATTGTACATAAATTACACCCAAGATTTATCTGAAGTGATAAAGCTGTGAGTCATGACCATGGCTAACTATAGAATGAAGAAGGCCATGCAGTATAGAGCAGATCCTGCATAATGCTAAGAATAATTACATTCCAACAAGCAGCCCCACAGTCTCAGATACCACAGAAACAAGAAGTGGATGTTCCAGGCTGCCAAGAGCAGGGCACTGTCCATCACCACTGACATCTGAAATAATGATGCTAGGACTTGGAAGAAGTGGGGCAAGTAGAGAAGGGAAGTTCTTACAACAACTACAGCCTCCATGCATGGTTGATTGGTGACAGACAGAGACAGGACAGGACAGAGGTGGGAGACAAGATAAGCTTACAGGAAGAGTGCGTACTTCCACATATTCCCCGTTGAGTTTGTTGGTGCTGTCGGCAGGGTTTATGATACGCTGCGTGGATGAAGTCTGGCCAATGCTTCCAAGCGGGCTCCCCCGCCCTACAAGCACACTCATTCAAGATTCTATCTGTTCATACTGGCTACCATAAGTGCTACACATGCTAATCTTTCCAGTTTTTCTAAGCTCCATTGGATACAAATGGACAATTTGAATCAAACACAACAGTTCACAAATTCTTTCTTAAAAGCTAGAAGCATCTACTTAGCTGGAAATTCTGATGAGAAATAAGCTAGGAAGCAGCTCAAACACAGGCTGACTTCATCAATGGGATCCACAAGCAAATGCTTTTGAGGTAATCATGAAGACTCACCATAGTAGGAAAGGAAGACAGGAAGAAAAATTAAACCATGGGCAGCACCAACCAGCACAATGCTGAGATACATTCGGAAATAAAAAACTTGGAAAATTTTGGATTTAGCAAATGCTAGTACTATGATGCCTCCAAATTTTGTCAGGGTGATCCCAGACAGCACCTGTAAAAGATAGAACCAAACCAGTGAATAATGCATCTCCATTAACAAATTTTGAATGTAACTGACAAGAGCATGTACAATCATTGACATACTGAGCTGCCCATATGTGTCAGGGCATCCCGAGCTCGCTCAACACGGTCCCCTTGGGTGGAAAGAGCAAAGTCTCTCACGATGTGACTGCAAAACTCCACTGATATTCCAACTGCCTGAAAGTGAAAGCCCACAGAATGTCTTGCTCAAGATTTAGATACATTATATGTCAAAATTAACATACCAGGGTTAAGTCTTATTCAATGAGAGATGTAGGAAAACCTTTTATATCAACAGGAAGTACATAAAGAGCCCTGATCTCAATAGAGTATAATTGCCCTGTGCTTCGACTACAGCACATAATTGGCCCCTCATTGAGTCTGCCAATTTTTTTATTATTAAAAATACAGGACATGCGGTGGACACAAATGACAACAGACCTATTACAGTACACAGAGAGGGAGTGCCTGCTTGACACAGGTACCACATCTGTATCACAGTCCCTCAGGCTGGGACACCCCTCATTGGTTGTATAGGAGGCCAAAGGGGCAGCTCACAGGTTGCCTAAGCCCATGACTGGCACAAGTGATTTTTAAGCCTTTTGGCATCATCCTGAGTACGTACTCAGGATGCGCCTGTGTTCTTGCCTGCGGGATGACGATTCGGATGGACACTGAAAGGGTTAAGGTGAACTACACCTGCATCTCCTAGATGTGGCACATGTGTTTTCCCACGCTAAGGAGACACTTCCCATGAAAGCAGGTGGGTCGGGTCGCCTGTTGGTGGAGGAAGAGCCTGCCACCACACGGACTCGATCCCTCACCTCCCAGGTTGCCACACAGAAGCCAGAACCCACTGATCCCTGGTGAATCTGCAAATTTTTTGCTGATTTCCTCACTCAGATTCTCCCACTCCTCCTCAATTACTGCTCTTAGAGTCTTGATCATTCTGGGGCACTGATGCACCACTTTGACCTTCAAGAGAGTCCACACATTCTCAATGGGGTTGAGGTTGGGAGACTGCAATGGCCAGTCCAAATAGAACACCCCATTCTCAACCCTCCAGTTGGTTGCCTGCTTTGGATCATTGTCCTCCTGGAGCACCCAAGTCTCCATTGAATCGGGAAACATAGTAGCTGCAGAAGGCAAGAGGGCATGCTTATAAATGGTCTTCAGCAGATGCGCATCTAGGTTCTGGGTGAAGGTGCAAATCTTCTCAATCCCTCCAGCATAGAGGCAGCCCTAAACATGCACCTTACCCAGGTGTTTGACAGTCCGAGCAATCACTCTTTTCCCTCCACCATTCCCATCTCTCGATATATTTTAATCCAACTGGCCTTCACTGGCTTTCAGATCTTTTTGTACTTTGCAATGGCACAGAAGAGAGCTTTGGAAGCAAGGGATGAGCAGTATGAAATCAATCTCGTAGCAATTCTTCATTGAAAATAGCATTTTTCCTCATGCCAATGAAAAACAGCTGTGTAATTGGGATGTAACAAACTTGAGTCACCCAATTTTTTAGGTGGAGCAGCACTCATGGGCAGCTGTCCTATGCTAAATGTTTGAGCCATATAGGTTCCCTATCTTTTGAGAAAACCCTGGTATATTAATTTTGATGATCACTGTATGTTAAGAAAGGTGGGATATAAAAACTCTTAGGACTCACCATGACCAGGTTGACTAGAGCAACAGCATTCAGTGTGATGTTCCAGAGGTACATAACTGCTCCAATGTTGATGAGAATCATGACAATAGTGATGACTATCATGATGGCAGAGTGGAGATCTAAGCCGAGTAAGACGAAGGTTACAACAAAGATGGCTATCAGGCTGATGCCTAGGGAACGCAGTACGTCTGGCCACATCGTCAGGTATTGCTCATAGAACACATAGAATACTCTGCTCAGGGAGAGAGAGAAAGAGAGAGATGAAGTGCATGTTCACCATGAAATACAAAAATCAAGAAAGATGTATGTGATGGAAGACTAACGAATAAGGAAACACTTCATAGTTTGTGTTCTGGCCCTCATTCAAAGTCTTTGTGATGTTAGCAGAAATTTCTCGAGACCACTCCAGTGCAGTATAGAAATCATGAGATGTCTTGAGGATAGTGTGATATGTCATGAAGTAGGTGGCACCTATATCAGTCACTTTCCCTTGCGAATTCCTATTCAACTTCACTGCCTGCAACATTGAAAGTAGCATGGAACATGAATAACAGCATTCAAGTGTAAGCACAAACCATGAAAAAAAAACTACAGGAGCAGCAAAACTCATACTGAAGCATAAGCAGCATGCCCAGCAACAATACAGTCTGTTGTGGGGACATCTTCCAGAAAATTTTCAACAAATTTGTAGATGGTGTCATTGACTGGGCGGAAGTCATACAGTTCGTTGCAGTCTATACAACCATTCCGGAATGCATCTGTAAAATCAAGATGGTGAGAAAATAATCAAGAAACAGTAGAGTCTATTCAAAATCTCTAAATTATTCTACCTTAAAGATGACAGTGGTAAGAAACAGAATAGAGAAGAATAAAACTTGCAATACAGAGAAAATTCTTAATTTAATCAGTCAGTCAGATCATTCACACCATGTGGCAGGTTCAGCACAGCAAACTTCCACTGCTGCAGTTGGCACAGAGAGATTGGCTGGGCATTTAAATTCCTCACAGTCAATGTGTTGAGCTTGATGCAGACACATAATGGTATCAAAAATTGGAAGGTAGAACAGAATTAGAAGAGAGGCAGATGGCAGAGGCAGACCTTACCTTGACTTTTCAACTCTAAGCTAACAAAGCAGCACCTTTTTTAGATGCATCAAATTTGGCAGATGGGTGAGATCCTGCATTCCACATTCATTCTTGGGCAGGTTTCTACATGTGTGTCAGTCTCAGCTTACAGAAGAATCATGTACAAGGTCTGTTAGAGGAGAATGGGACAGCAAATATGCCTAAAGCCATTAAGTCACTATCTAAACCATCTATTGATGTCATTAAAAAGATTTTAACACATTTCAAATCCTGCAAGCTGAATGGATGCCTTTGGCTGTAATGAAAAGGGAAAGGTTTAATCATTTTCTGCATAGGTATTCTAGTGATTTCTTCAGCAGCTAGGATTAGTCACTTAATGCTCGCTAGTGACACTGGATAGATTGAAGTCAGATCCAACTGGGTGAGCAAATAAAAGACTCCCTTCCCATCGTGATGTTCCCCAGAATAAGGTATACCTTTAGTTTAAGTTTGGCATTTCTATCACAAGTAAAACTCAAATATTTTCTCTGAAAAGGCCTCTGAAACTCAATGCAGAAGTTGAAAAGGACACTGAGTAAAACAAAGAGAATGCAACAGATCATAGGTTCTAATGTGGGTGTTTATAGGAATCAACAGCAATCTCTGTTCACCATTCTCACTGCCCAGCCAATCTGCATGTGGGATTAACTTGTTCACATTAACTGTTCTAGCACAATGGTCTGACAACAATCAAGAGCTTCTTGAGGTGCTCTAAATCATCCAAAGACTCATGACTACTCCCAATGAAGAGTGATTCCTGCATGACTATAGTATGCAAGATATCAAGTGCATGTGGGCAAGCAAGATATAGAGTCACCTGGGCTATATGGATAGCCTTGATCTAGTGTGAGAACATTGTTGAAGGAATTCAGAGTTTGCAGCCATCATGGACTGAGTTTAATCCTTAATATCTAGAAGCATCATGATCTCAGACTCCAGCTAATTTTGAATTTGAAATCAGTCAAATCTGTTAACACATTATGCATTGTGTGTATTATAAGTGTGCATTGAAAACATATCAGTTGAAGCAAATATGAAATGGCAGCATTTTCACACATTAGTATGGGTGAATAACATTAAATTGCAAAATGCAAATCCTCAGCTAATTCAAAACAATCAACTCTCAGCTAATTCAAAACAATCAACTCTCAGCTAATTCAAAACAATCAACTCTCAGCATAATAACACAGATATAACAAAAAACTGGTTATACTGAACATTTTGATGCCATCCATGTTTTAGATAAAGTATAAGCTTGATACTTGATGCATAGGCAGCTATTGAGATGTTGAATTTAGAAAAATTTAACTTTGGATATACCTGGGGGCACTTTTTTTTAGGGAGATGTTTTCAAATAAATTCTTTCACTTCAGTGAAACAGACTGACATGGAAAGCTGAAACTTGGCATGACCATTTCCACTGAGATGTTAATTTATGAAAAAATGTTACTTTAATACAGAATATTAAGGGGGAGATATTTTGCAATATTTCGTCTCAGGAATTGTATAGAAGTAGATGGTAAAACTTGGGACATAAAATAACAGTCGTGATGTTCAGTGCAGGAGAAATTGTACTTTTGAGGCACAGCCCCCTCAGGATCCAATTTTTGGGCAGAACAGTTTTTCCAAATGTACTTGGGCAAATATAGAAAGTTGTAACCCAGCAACAGTGCAGTTCATTTGGTATTATTTTCTGCAAAAATTTAAGTTCCGATGTAAATCCCCTTAGGGTTCGTTTTCTTGATGGTGACATATTTCAATTATTTTCCCTGTAATGAAATCATGAGACTTAACAGGTTGACTGCCACATGGTATACAGGTGCGCCTCACTGAATGGGAAAATCAATAGGCCAGCATTTCCGTAGCAGTCAACATGTTATATAGCTAAACATTGATTAATAAATACCAACTGGGTAAAAGGGTAAAATTTTATACAGAATTTATACAAATAGTACAAATTCTGTATTAAATTATATCTAAGGAAACTAAGGATCTAAGTTTGTTTGCTGATGACACCACACAGTGGGAAGTAACTTAATGGAATGTAAAAATACCTTTCATCCAAGGAATTTTATCTCGATGGTTGAACTTTGATCCTTCAAATGAATAATCCATTTTTTAAGATCATCCCATTTTTTCAATAACTGCATTTCCTGATCTGTAGTCTAAATTTTTCCCCCCTTGGTTATGCCCTGGTGAAAGTTATAAGATTTCCCTGCCTGGTGATTTTTCCCTTTTATTTGTGTTCAATAGTTCAGCAGTAATTTTTTTTGTTTCTTAGGCATGAACTTTTTTTCTGTGAGCTTTTCTTCAAATGTATTTCTTGGGCCAAACTATTGATAAGACTAACAGCAGGTTTAGTAAAAACTTCCATTGCATCAATGTTAAATTCAAATTGAGGTTTGATGGTACATTCACACCCCAGGATATGTGTATTGAAATAGTCAGATGATTCTCTCATCAGGCAGTTGCTCACCTTCTTGAGAACAGTAATCATGTGTTTCAGGATCCATTTTGCAGCAATTGCTGGTCTCCAACCATTTCAGATAGTCATCAATCCATGTCATTGGGGCCTTTGCAATGTATGTTCTGTTTTTAATTTGAGAGAGGCGAGTATATCAATACCCTTCAAAAAGATACACTAGCATAAGAAAGGGACAAACACATACATAGAGGAGTTGAGAGAGGCGGAATCAACTTGTGATACAAGGGACACAGGACTACAGCCAGCAACATTTCCACATATCTTATTTTGTTCTGGAATGCTGGTGAACTTGTAGCCATCCCTTAGAACAAAATATGTTGGAACTCCCACAGACAAATACAACTTCAGGAACTGCAAAAAATAACCACAAAATTGAATTATGAACAAGGAACTGAGCTTGTTGAGGTGATTCATGCAAGAGCACTCATTTAATAAGCTCTGTTTCCATACTTGGAAATACTTGAGTACATAGGAGTCCTCAGGCACACCATACTCCTCTGCAAGTCCAATCTCAATCTTGGGCACTACCATTAAACTGAGACACATGAAGAACATGAAGAGAATCATGATGACAGGGCGTACAAATTTGCTCAGGAGGGCAGGAGCATATAGCTCCTTAAACAAAATGTAGAGGATGCCATGCCCATTTGAGCGCTCCTTCTTTGGTCCCCTCACACAACACAGCACATCATAACGATGATCCTATAGGAATGCAAGCCCATCTCTATTACCCCTTAAAAGACAATACCAATGACTGATATGAATGACAGCCATAAGCCTACCTTGTGGCGGCGGTTGTCCAGACTGCAGAGAGCCACAAAAGCAGTGACCTGAAGCAGGAAATCAACAAGCAAGGCCATGCCTGCATAGAGGGCAAATGCCTTCACAGCTGGCATGTCTGATAGGGCACCGAGGAAGAAACAGCATGCTTCTGATAAGGCTGACAGGAGAATGGATGGAGCAACTTCTCCAATAACACGGCCCAAGAATTGATTGGGATCTTCCTGCTCATTTTTGGTGGCACGCTGGAAGCTCTGTACCATGATGAAGATGTTGTCTACACCAACAGCCAGGACCAAGAATGGAATCACCTGCAACGTTGTAATGATAAAAAATCTTGTCTTCATTCCAAGTCATCCCAGCATTCAAGAATCCAGCCTAGACTCACCTCAATGACTATCAATGTGGCAGGCACTCCAATATAACCATAGAAGCCAACTGAGGCAGAAACAGAGAATAAAACGATTAGGACTCCTCCAAGGCCAAGGGTGATCTTGCTGTCCATCTATACACACAGAAAGATAAGAACATTCTTTCATGAAGAACAACAGGAATTAACAGAACATGGATGGCATTAGGACCAACTCTGACTTACCAGCATATGCTTAGGGTTGAGGTCTCGGATCTGGCCAAGAGTGATGGCAATGTAGGCGAACATGATGATGTAACTGGCTGCAACAGTTGGGATGTCGCCTTTTGATGTTCGTTCCAGTTCATCTTGAATGGAACGCTCAGAACTGAAGGCAACCTCTATCAGCTGATCCTTAACTGCCTTACTTGTTGATACATATTCCTTCATGAAATCAATGTACCTGAAAGACAGCATACTTTGTCATGAAGCACTCAAACTTTGACAAGTCAATAAATCAAATCCATGAATATTGACAGAGAATGAGTTGTTCTGCATCAAGAGGCTAGAAACTTACACTTTTTCCCAAGCTTTAGCTTTCTCAATGGCTTCCAAGTTATTATAATGGTTCACAACAATAAAGCTGAGTAGCAAAGCAGATGCATTGCGAACATCATGATCTCCAGCAATGCCATAGGGTCCAAGGAACCCACCCAATACCACGTATGGATCCACTGGCCCTTCATATGCTGCTCGGCAGTCATCATTAAAAAGTGCACTACAAAAAACAAAATAGACACAATCATACAATTTTAGGGGAATCAGATGATGTTCAGAGAATTACAGATTGAGGACTGTTCTAAATCACACTAAACCTTCAGTGCAAGTACAAGGGTAGTTTGACAATGAGTGAGAATCTCAAGTACCAGCTAAAGTGCAGCAAGGTGACTCCTATGACAAAGCAGCCTTACCTCTCAGATGACTGCAGGCCAAGTTTGAGCATGGTAGCTTGTTCCCATCAGGAGACATAGTACTTGAATTGAAAACGTATTTGGAAAATGATGAAAATCCAGTTGTTGAGCAGTGTGCAGTGATCTGAAATTTGATGCAGAAGGACAAGAATGCAACAAAGATTCATGAAAAGCTTGCAAATATTTACCAGGACAATGCTTTACCATCCAGTACAGTCGCACACTGGATCAGTCAATTTTGTTGTAATTGCAACTTTGTTGCAATTGTACTGGATGATAAAGCATTGTCCTGGTAAACACTGACAAGCTCTTCGTGAATCTGTGTTGCATTCTTGTCCTTCTGCATCAAATTTTGGATCACTGCACACTGCTCAAGATTTTCATAATTTCCCAAAGATGTATTCAGTTTGAGTATTATATCTCCTGATAGGAACAAGCTACTGTGCTCAAACTTGGCCAACAGTCATCTGAGAGGTAAGGCTGCTTTGTCATAGGAGTCATCTTGCTGCACTTTAGCATGTACTTAAGATTCTCACTCATTGTCAAACTACCCTCGTAGGTTTGACAATCTAAATTTCAGCCAAATCATCTTCAACATATGCAGCATCACTTTCAAGTCAGGATGTTACAAATTTAACCTATATTGTTTGTAATTTTGGTTTGGGAGCATTGCAAAATAAACCCTCCCTGATAGATAAAGACCACTAGGACCACCGTACTGTTAACAACTGAGAAAACTAGAGTGCCTTCAAGTCAGAATTGAAAAGTCAAGTCCCTCCAACCAATTTTGACACCTTTGGTTTAGGGGGATTAGTAAGACCAAAATAAATTGGATTGTTTGGCATGTTTTTATTCATCCTATGCACTTGAAACTCTAATTGAGTTCATGGTATCCTAGTATGAGCTTGTGTACCAAATTTCAAGATTGCTCAAATCCTTCATGGTCATGCTCTTCTTTTTTTTGCTGATGAATTTACTGAGTGATGCATATAAAAGTGTTCCACATGCGTGCACCTAGCTAGCTGAGTTACAGCAGGTACTAGAAGTGTTCTGCTACATCAATGCACTTTTGGGTCCATTTCAGGACATTTTGAGTGACAGCTCACAACTCTTGCAACATGATTGAGATGATCTCTAGCCGAACATTTTTCTTCAGTTTATCCAATGTATCAGGATTATTTGCATTAATTTTTCCCTGTAGTGCACCCCATGGCATGTCACACACTCCCAAGTGTAATGGCTGATGGCCTGTAGAAGGAGGAGTTGGATGACACAAGAGGAAAAAGGAATACCATGGAATGGCCAGGAATCAAACCCAGGAGTCCTGATTGCCAGTCAGGTGTGCTACCACTACACCACCAAACCCAGGACATTCAATCCCACCTCTCAATACCATCCTTAGCACTACACAAGGCACAGACTGGGGTGCTTGTTGCATTGCATGTCACTCTTTTTCCTACTCCCACACTTGTGGAACTTGTACTGACAGATACTGGCATGCTGTAGTAACCATGCTATACAGGGTGACTCAAAAGTCCTTGGACAAGTTTGAAATGACAGGGAGGTTTGAATCAATTCCCTCAATTTCTTTCCTGTTCAAGCATGAGGCATCACTCTCTCCTCCCTCCAAGTTTGACCCAGATTGCTCTTCATACCAGGATGCAGGAGGTTGAGACATGATCATTTTTCACCACAAAAACGAACATTCGGCAAAGCAGATTGTGAAGCTGCTGAAAGTGCCTCGTTCCACAGTTTACAATGGTAGGCAAGACACCTCTGCATTTTGTTGTGCTGCAGGTCAAAATCAATGCTTCCTATTATCAAGAAGAGGTCTTAGAGAAGGTCTTACTACCCTGGTTCCAAGGGCATTTCTATGGCAGAAGCTGGGTCTTCCAGTCATGATTTGAAGTCATGAAAGGATTAAGGAACAACTCAACAAACTCAAAAGAAGAAACTGTTAAAGGGGACTTACTCAAAACATTTATCAAGTTTCGCTGGAATCGTAGACATATCGAAATCAACATTGAATGTAGTTTCATTATTCTTCCAGAACTGCAGGATACTTTGAATTGCACAAAGAGTGACATCATTGGGGTCACTCCTCACAGGCTGGTAGCAGATCTGAGACAGTGTCACTTTGTCATCCTTGTAATCAGCTTCCAGCTGGAAATGGACAGAAAAAATTCAAATCCACAAATCAACTCCACAAAATTTTCACATTGAAAGGCAGTTTATCAAAATATACCTTCATGATTTCCAGCTGCAACTTGAAGACTTCTCGCATTAGAGACGCATTAAATGCTGGCCCAAAAGTCTTGTTTTGATTATCAACTTCATATTCCTGAAAGTGAAAATAATAATTACTAGGTGTGCCATGCCATCTGATATTAACCCATTCACATTCACTTTATGAGGTGTTGTGCTACCTCCAGCACCATATGCTGGCCATATGACTTATTAGAGCCATGTTCTACATATGCTGTTTAGTTTCTCATTCTTAGTACAGAAGTGACCACTTGAAGGGGATTTCAACCCCTCCAACAAAAATTTAGGCTGCATGACTGAGTCACCTTGCAATATGAAACATTCTTTCCTGTACGTCATGGAATTGGAAGTTAACTTGATATGTCTTCGAGCAGCTGATCTGCAACTTCCTGAAATTACCTCATCAGGCAACTTGAAAACTTTATTTTTGCACTAGTCAAATGTTGCACATCAGCAACAACCCCATATTTTAGTTTTGAACAGTCCTGCCTCTTCAAGTAAATACAGAAAGCAGTTGCTGAATCAAAAGAACTAAAAAGAAAAGAAAATTGCAACAGGATTTTTCTATTTGGTATAAAGAGGGTCAATATCTGGTTTCTTTATTGGTCCACCTAGTACATGATTGCCTGGAATCAATTGAGAATTGGTCTGACAGCTCTTTCTGGCAGCACTCTTTTAGTCTACAGGCTACAAGTCTTGCATTGATGGGAACAACAATGGACTTACAAAATATGGAACGTTTCTTCCAGCCTTGATAATCACTTGTTCAGCTCTGAAGAATGGCCCAAAAGTCTTGTCAAAGTAATCCTTTTCCAGTCGTGAACGGCTGTCAGGTGCAGCCCATAGTTCAACAGGGTCCAATGTGATCCTCAGTAAAAGAATCCCACAGGAGAGGATAGTGACTAACACCAGACAGGCCACCAGTGTGAGGATAGGGTATGTTGCACACACTGCAGAGAGATTCTTCTAAATTTTCAGTGTATTGTCAACAAAGAGAAGAAAGGTAAAAAAACAAAAAAGCAAACCAGTTGCAAGACGAGTGAAGATTTGAACCAATGATTCCTGCGATTTGATCCCAATGCCATCCAAGAATGAACTCTTCTCTCGACTAGAAGGAGCTGACATGATATATAAATTGCATCATCATTGGTTTCCATGGTACATCGCAATTATAAATAAATAAATAAATAAATAAATTGCATTCAAATTTGATTGGTCCTGTGACATGACTTCTCCATATCACCATGAGAAAACAGTGAAATGATATACACCTGGTGAGAGATATAAATAAGCTCTAGAGTGAGAATAAAACAACTGAGGAACTAAAAACAGGTCTAATCAGCATAATAATACTTTAAAAAAAACATTGGTTTAGATCAAAAATAAACAAGTGGCACTGGAAAAAACAAGGTGGTAGCATTTAGGAGACAATCACACAAGGTTGCATACCATGGATGGAAGATACATAAACAGTGAGTACATGGGTAGAAAGTGCAATAAAAGAAAGCCATATCTATAGATATGCAGGTAACTGTACAAGTCTTGCTAGGGTTACTAGGACTATTTCTACTAATGGGTGTTGAATTATGACAAATATATCACTCTTCCCTTTCCACTTGTTCAGAGCTGGCTGCATTCAGAACTGCAGACTGGCACCATTTCAAACTATGAATCCTTGAAAAGTGACTTCAAAACCTAATCCAAAATTGAAAATGTTTCCATGCTCTCCAGACTGTTTCAGTCAGAAAAGTAGTATAAAAGCAAGGACAGAACAATGCAATGAACAGGCTTGGAAGAAATACCAGTTCTGCAGTCCCTACTAGCTATGTGTCCCACCACCAACACTGCAGAGAAAAAAAAAACTGTTGTTCAAAAGCAACCAAACTATATAATGACTCCCTTCTCCACCCCTGCAAATCATACTGCTCCTTCTGAGATAGTTATTTCTTAGTGAATAGAAGGAATTCCAACTGATGAATAGAGCCAAGAAGGCCCCCATCACAGGATTTCACAATAGAATTGAGAGAAATGAAGCATTTCATATTTGATGAACACAAGCATGCAGAAACTCATAAGACTGATAAGAGATATATGAAGCAAAATAGAGATTGGAAAGTGTGAAAAGGTCAGTGAATGTCAGCATTTGACATTTGCAAGGCAAGCGTGTGGTGAAGAGTTGCATGCAACAACAAGTTAGGATATGTGGCATGCTTACTTTGTTTTCCGTTAAAGCCCTGCAGAGGGGCATATTCCTCAGCTTCTTGATGCTGTAGACCTGCTTCTAGGGAATGAGTTATGCCAGCCAGTCGACTTCCTATTGTATGGGAGATCTCCCCTGCTCGTGCCCCATATACCCCCATATGCTCCTTGCCTAAGATGATCCCGACAATTTCAACATCCCTTGCTTACATCCCATGAGGGATTCGTGCCTACAAATCGTGGCCAACCCCACTTTCAGCAGACCATGACTCCATCTCCACAATTATTTTCTCCTTCATGTTTCCCTTGTAACCATCACTATAGAAGTCTTGCACTTGAAAAATTCAACATAATGCATGGAGTACAGTTGTGGCACTGGGCAAGTAGTACTAGGTGCCAAGTACAGATACATTCCCACTGGCAAGCAGAGATGAGACTGACTGCAGGATTGTACCAGGTGGAGAGAGAATTTGTATGACTGTTTGAATTTTTATATAAAGAAATTCGTTATTGCTAGTTATGTATGCTCCAGAATATATGCAGCTACATTGTAACTTTCACAGAAGCACTTTGAAGATTGTGAGGAGAGTATTTCAAAATTCCTGGCTGACACTAGTCTCTCTCCAAGAGAGGGAAGCAGGTAATCTTGAATGCTTCTGCAACAAAGCAAACAGTGGTAATGAAACATGTTTTCTGGATGAAAGGGTTCAATGACTTCATTCAAAGCATGATTCTATAATGAAAACCATGGCTCAATGCTGTCATTCTGGCACAAGGACAACAAATCATGCATCAATTTCAGTTGAGTCTCCTCAGACTTGCAGGAATTCTCAAACATTTTACTCTTGAGCTTCAAAGTGCTTCTTGGGCTAAACTATTAAATCAGCAGAGGGAAGCTTCTCAAAAACATTGGAGACAAAATTTAGATGCATACCTGTTGGAACACACACACAGCTATAGCTGTGACCAATTTTCAGATACATAAACATTCCAGCACGGGAATGTTTTTTCCTCTGCATGCAGCAGTTAGCTATGTAATAGTTAGTTGTAATAGGCTTCATAGTGCTAATTTTCTACATATTGGATTTTACTCATTTTGCAACATGAGTCGTTCTAAGTTGAATGATTCAGAAGAGGCTTTGACTGTTTTGATTGTTGACTGCTTCCAAGCTTTCACTTTTTTGAGGTTCATGATGTGGTGGTCAAACTGCATCATCACTTCAATGTGTCACACCTCTGATACATTTAGCTCAGAAAAATACATATTACAAAAATAATAAAAAAATATGAAACATGGAAAAGAAGTTCAATGAAATCGCCTACCTATAATTCTAAGCAGTCTATCACACTCCTGCTGGCAAGGGGAGATGCATCTACTACTGGTACCCTACATAATATACTTATTGTTAATGGTAACACAGCATATCAACATTGCATGGTTCAAGATCTTTATCCTCATTTGGGTCATTCCTGGTAATAGTCCATCTGCACACACCATTTCTTGTGTCAACACATAAATAATAAAGACTGCACTTGTTCTCCCATTCTATCTTGACTGCAAGAACCAATGGTAAAATATACTCATTGCCAAAAAAAAAGCAAAACCAAGACAGAATTGAGCAATCTTGAAGAAATTTGGTACACAAACTTTACCATGAAATTGATTCAAGTTTCAAGGGTGTGGGATGAATATTCAGGGAAAACTTGTCAAACAATCCAACTTTACTATCAGCTAGGGGTTGCAGTTAGACACTCAACAATGGCCCTATAGTGAAGTGGCTAGAAGGAAAGAGAAAAGGAAACTGGTGCATTCAATGGTGTGGCCCCATTCCTTATGCATTTGTAATTTTCTCTTTGCGTTGCCTCATCTCCTGCCATGTTTCATCAGTAAAAACCTCCTTGGTGACTGTTTTCAGTGATTAGTATGACCACATAGGCAAGAGCAAAATTGGAATGTATGATATGTCTGTTAATATTCATACCACACCCATGAAACTTTCAATTTCATGGTATGAGTTTGTGTACCAAATTTAATCAGGATTGCTAAACTCCTTAGTTATGTTTTTTTTTGGCAATGAGTATAATACCAACAAAAGAAAATGCCAGTCATTCCAAAGAGAAAACTTTTAACTTGTCCCTTTATCAAATGAAACTGGATGTAAAAAACATTGCACAAAGGCCTTGATGTTGAGGTGGGGCTGGCACCTGTCACAAGTGAAGATGAGTATTTTCTGTTCCCTAAAAGGTGATGCCTGAGATTTGTGCTGAGAATAAGGCTCTGCATTTGATAGTCTAGTCGTCCTCTGATGCACATGGTATATTAGCTTGATTGTGTAGTCTTTAAGTTAAGGCATGCACCAATTCAAAATTTGACTTAAGCATGAACATTATGTTAGGCCAAGCTCAGTTAAGTCTGCACCTGCCATGCTGGTTCATCTGGAAATAAATAATCACAGGCCTAGACCAAAGAGTATAGGATACATGAAACTGTGATTCATAAGTTTGTGACTGCTTAACTTAAGCTTACATTGAGAGATGCATTTTCACAAAAAGGAAACTAAGCACACCACTCAAAAGAGTGCCTTTTATCCTTCAGAGTATCTGAAAGCAATATATGAATGATGAGTTGCTGCCAGATGATGCAAAATTGGGAATAACTTGTTTTTCAAATAGGGTGGTGCCCCACTGTATCAGGACACTGAGTGAAAAGATACTTCCTGCTTCTGCTATGATGTAGCTTGGGAAGAAAAAAACGTCATGGCCCTATGATCCTTCAAAATGCATACATAAACCGTTTTAGTGCCAGACAACATATCATTGTTTGACCCACACAAGGAGGGAGGTTAAGACGGTTAAGCTATAACTCAACAAGCTTGTTTTAAGTTCTAAGTTTAAAATGATATACATGAAAGAAAATCCACTAATCACATTTGTGGTAATCTGGTGGCTATCCCTTGTTTCTATCCCTCAAGAAAAAAAAAACATGATAAAGATATAAATGACTTAGTGAAACCTGACCCTACCTGAGAAAGCAGAAATGTTTCATCTCCTAAGATGAGTAATGCTAGATGATGAAACACGAAAGTTGACACATATTCCAAATTAGATCTTCATCTCTTCTAATTTGATAGGTCTCCATTTTAACTTATAGGATACGAGCGCATTAAAAGGTATATACAAGGTCATAGATGTGAATAGCATGGGCATGCATGGTTGGGTGAAGAAATGAGTCAGAGCAAACCAACTATGATCTGTTACCAGTATAAAAATATAGAAACACGGGCACATCAAGGTGAGATACAACTCCAATGCAGCACTGAGCATGAACAGTAGATGCCTCTCAAGGGCAAGAGCACCAAGAAGGGACCTTTCAAAACTCTACATGCTGTACAAAGTGCCCATTCCTAGTGGCACTTCAACAGATGACATAGTTCAAGTCATAGAAGAATCACCAAGATAAGAAAGTAAGGGTGACTTCAGGCCTGGCATATAGTATGTTGTCAACTGTCTGTCAAATAAACACAATGCAAATACAGTAATACTTTTCCACAGATCTGAATCTCATAAAAGTGACAATAAATACCTACAGCAAAAAACATCCACAAAAAATTAGCACATTATCAAGAACATGACTGAATAATCCACAACTGTTCATGACTGCTCCATCAGCATGCTTTCAGTGACCAATACATTGAAAGGATTTCTTGGGTGAAAGGAAGGAAAGAAAAATCTGCATCACTGAATGAGGTTCTGGTAGTTCTGGGACAAATACCCCTTATCACAATGGCTGGGGTTGTGGAGTCCCAGTTGGAAGGGACCACAATGCCATACAAACAACTTAGGTTTTCATGTTCCATAATTTTTCTCAATTCCTATCTCACCTATCTGAGTTGGTGTACTTCTTAAGTAGTTACTGCCATGTTCTATAACAACAATAAGGGTCTTTTCATGGGAATCCAAGACAATAAAATCATCCTACCAAATTTAGAAACACATCCCCATCATATTGCTAACTTCAATATGGTTTTATGCCTAAGTTTAACACCTGAAGAAACTTGGGGAACATTCATGCCATTGTCTCATAACTTGCAGGACATACTCATTACTGACAGTAACCCCATGATACATATAACCTATCCACAAAGGGATGCTATAACATGAGGTTCCAGACATCCCATATCTGAGAAATATCTAACCCTAAAATAATGCCTTAAGGGCACTGTAGACCAGGGGTGCACAACATATGATCCACAAGGCCCTTGCTTGTGGCTCACTATGACTAGTGGCATTGTAAGTGCTACTATGGCACCTGCCCTGTTGGCCAGAGTTATTGGTCAGCCAGACTGTGGCCTGCAGTATCTGACTAAGAATCACAAACTGGCCCTCACAGTCTTTTGAGTTGTGCACCCCTGCTGTAGACTCTCATTCCAAGCCCTTGATACAAAATATATCATGGCATACCTACAACATTTGGCAAACTGTAGGAATGCCTAATGCCAATCAGTCACAACATACTTCACAAGTTTACAGGCAATTCTTATTCTCTGAAAAAATACATCTCAGCAACTTGAAGCATTTTCATTACTCCCTCCTTATGTGAGCCTGAAGAGCTTTAAACAAGAATCCATTTCTCATGTCTTCATTTCCTCCACTTATAAATGAAACAGCTATAAGCTACCATTGTGATATATGTTTGGGAATGAAGACAGCAGAAAAGGCAACTCACCAGAATTTCGGCAAAACCAGATGAATAACTGGGAACCGATGAAGATGCCAACGAGGAACAAGAAAACTAAAGAAAAGATGACAATATAACCATCAATCCCAATGATCTCTAGGTCTCCAGGTGGGAGTGGGTAGGATGGTTTTTGAGGACATGCGTCAGGACAATCTGCACAGCTGCATGGGAAGCCTACAGCATCAGTCTGGAAGCAGGATGATACAAAAGGGTTATAGTGAGACTTAGATGAATGGTATTAAATTATGTGTCATCAATGGATAAAATATTTGAAAAATCAGGCACTTACTGAATTTGGAGTAAATGCCTCAGAGCATTTGGCAATAGTAGCATTCATGGGTTTGAAGCCATTGACTTCGTCTGCAGTCTGATACAAATAGTTGATCTGGAAGGGAGCCTGCCCATTTGAAATGTTACCCAAATAATTGAACATATCATGGGGTGTGCAATCTTGATTGAAACCACAAAGAAATGGCAATGCAAGGTCTCCCGTCTGTCCATAGCGGACATTCTTGCAAGTGTCATACGTCCCATATACATATGCTTCAGAAATGTAGTAGTCCATCTCTCCAACAGCCATTTGACCTAAAACAATGAAAAGGGTCAATTGATGGCATACGATGTCACTTTGAAATGCAAAAAGTAGCTCCAATTCTATTTATGGTTTAAGTCTTGATTTATGTCAAAGAGGTTAGAGGAAAAGGATTCAGCAGCTGTGGTATTACATACACCAAGACGATCCATATTGCAGTTGAAGGAGTGATTAAAATACTCAATTCCAAAGGCCATTCATGAAGATAATAAGATGAAAACTCCTCTCATGGCAGGTAGTTTCAGTCTTGACAAATGGCTCATCTTGAATAGATTGTATTAGACCTAAATAGCTTACTGATAAGGAATATACATAGCTGTAGGAGTAGTATAACCATAATGAATGTCTAATACAATTTTCTAAAAATTATATTTTTATATAATTATATATAGAAAATTATAAATCCAAATGCTGTAGTTCTCATCCACATTCTGTAAACTCAACACTTGTCCACATTTGCATTCAGAGAAATTGGAAGTTGTTGAATATCAAGGTATTATGCTGGACAGACAATGAATGCATAAAATGAAATAAAAATGGGGTGCATAAGAAAAAGAACATATGAAGAACCAAGTGCAATTTCCAAATATGCCTCCTGTGGTTCTTACGGTTAATGGTTCCTTTGCATTTGTGAGTGCTATGCCCCTGAATTTAAGGCTATTTTTTTTACTTCTATTTTTGGCAATAATGACTATTTACACAAAAGCAAAGCTTATCTATGGCAATGAACATGGTCAATTACTGAATAATCCAACTAATTCAGCTAGAAAACTCACCCTTATCTCCAGAGAATTAAAACTGATCATATATTTTTAAAAAAGCAAATTGAGGACCACTCCACATATCCAGTTCTTTGCTAACTTGAGCTGATGGGAATGGAAGCTTCTTTTCAGAAGTCACTTAGTGTAGCTTTAAACTATTGGAAATACTTTCTAAAATAAAGTCCCTCCCCTTTACCATTTAAAATTTCTTTGAAATTTCTTTAAGTGTATATTGTAGTGCTTCAGCATATAAGGAATCCACCAGAGAAACATCTAGAACTAAATAAGAATTGCATTAGTAGACTTTGCACTAAAGATTCTTCATGCTTTCTGCAAAGAATCCACAATGAACTGGTAGCTTGAATCAAAATATCTCTTCCTCTAACATGGGGCCTGAAAATGTCCTTTTGTGCTTTCTTTGAAAAGAAGAAAGATTTTCAGTCTCACCAGGCTTTTCATCACTTGGGAATGCTTTTGTGACTTTCATGAATGTGGACTGAATGGGTGAGCAGGAGATATAACAAATGTGTTGCATGAAGCTTCGGTAGCATGAGGGGCAACCAGCCAGAAATTGCTTTGGGAGAGAGAGACTATCCACCATTGCAGTGATCTGGTTCTCATGACAGCACACTGTCACATCTTCACCATCATCTATATGATACAGAGGCATGATCATCTTTTACTATGAAAGGTGGCTCGAAGCAAATACTACAGAAGTTGAAAGTGTTCACAAACATGCAGAAAATTTATCCACCAAGCACAAGCATCAGAAAAAAATTAGGTGGGATATGACTGAAAAATTCTTTTTTGCTCACTCAAGTCTTGGAAGAACTCAGGACATGTTTCCAGGAGAGTCTTGTAAATAGGCTTTGAAGAGGGAATGGGAACTGGAGGGCCGTTATATACGCAGGGTATAGGAGATGGTCCAACAATCCCACCATGGACACCACAGCGATCATGGATGACACAATGGGGATTATCATCAGCTTTCTGAACCTCGGTCTCCTATTGTACAAAAATGAACTCATCACATGGCACAAGCAGCCAACATCTAGATGGGTGGCATTAATTTCTGCACTACTATAATTCACTTTATTAGCATGTATGCAATATGAGTCAAAATGTGAAAATGTTAGCTTCAAAATTAAAAAATGTAACATGTTCTGCTCCTACAAGCAATGACAGTTGCATAGGAAAAGGAAAGAGATCTGAATAAGCAAGGGGGAGAACTTGTCCATCTTTCATATATATGGATTTCTGGAAAGCTGTGGCATGGATTTATGCAAGTGGTTCACAAGGAAAAGACTACAGCATTAATTTGCTCCAGAATTCAGAGAATGGGATGATACTGTCCATATTAAGGAGCATGTGAATGATCCATTTTCTCCTCTCTTTTTTTTCAACTTTTTCCTGAAATTCCAAAATGAAAACAGTACTAATGTTGGATTATATGATTTTATATTTTTGCAAACAAATATTTCTAAGTGCATAGCACAGAAAAAAAGACAGAGGAGATGACTGAACACAACTGAGCAATGGTAATTCTTCAGAAAACAGGAAGTTGTAGTGGAAATGGCAAGAGTTGTACAAAAGAAAGGGAATCCAATACGGACAGATGGAAGAAGGTGGTGGTTAGTGCAATGAAGAGAAGAGAGCTTCAGCACAATGATTAATGAAAGAGAAGCTCCAACATTCTTCCCCTGTCCCACTCTTGGGCCTGCTTCTTTGGGGCAAATATAGATTGGAGTTAAAGTGCAAGATTCTCTGAATTTTTTGCAAAAGGAAGAGAGAAAGGGAGCATAACCAGAAATACTTTCTTCCTCCAACATATATGAGAGGGAGGAATGAAGAAAGTCTCAGTTTCAAGGAGGGAAAAGACAGATTAATGAAAAAAAAATTTTTTTTTTCTCTGAATTTCTTATTTCAACAGGGAAGTATATTTCAGCTGGAAAATCTTAACATGGAGTCTATAGGGTTTTTGTTAGAATCATGAATTTGATCAGCACTAATATGAATTCTGATTACTAGTATCCTAATTAGAATATGCTATACCAATCATGATGCTTTTACTACCTTTTTACTGTTGTCTAGGGCTGTACAATAGTTGATCCTCTCCCTTTCTGGGGAGGGTTTGGTCCTATTCCCCCCCTTATCATGAATTTGCCACAACCTAAATATTTCTCATGGGCCACCAGTGGTGGCAAACTGTTTTTAAAGTCTTTGCACCCCTGCTTTAGACCACAGTTCTGAAGTCATACATTAGAAGGTAAACATTCTAGGAATGAAGCAACACTGGTGAGGGATTTAGTCATGGATGCTTGAGTTGCATCTGTTTCAAATATATACCCAAGAAGCTGCTGGTTTAGACATATTTCAGCTGGGAAATATGGAATTCTTGTTTGAAAGCAGTTTCAATTGAAAAATTATCCCCATCTCTTGTTATAATGGGTGAGATGGCATGTGGGAGTAAAAGGTAAATTTGTCTAGCATAAATTTCCCATGTGCATAGCACACTAAACAACACTTACAGCAATGCCTCCATCTGCTCGAGCTTCTGAATGAGATTTATTTTCAGGTTCTTGACCCTTTGAAATTGCCATTGGATGCTGAGGTGCAGTCCGTACAGACTCTGGGTTTTTCACAGCAGGAATCCCTTCTCCTTCATGTTGATCTGGATCTTTCCCTAGCAATAGCTCACCATCTCCTTCACATGCAGCTGGGCAATCATCACACTTGCAAGCCATGGCATCCTGCAAAAGTTTTGGGCCAAAATCCACAGTGTCACTGTCCATTTGGGAGTTCCCAATCAATGGGGACTGAAGGTTGGTAATCATGTTGCAGGAAATACCTTGTTCATATCACCATCATGTAGCTGGGTTTTCATAACATATAGCAATATTGACCTTCCAGATTTAAATTATGAGTTATTCCATGAAAATGTCTCACTAAAAGGTTTTAGAAAGCAATGTTTCCTTGGAAAGCTATAGTTAACAGAATGAGGGTCATTATCAGGATTACTTTAAAGGCCTTTTTGCCAGAAAATGGGGATCTTATGGTACATTAAATAACCATGTGAAATAATCAGCATTAAAGTTTGAAAATATTCACTTTTTGGCAATACTTGAATAATTCAGTTCTTTGGATGACTATTGACAGGGTTCAGATTGAGACAGAGACCAAATAAGGAGCTCCTCTGATCTCTAAACAGTTCCCATTCCCTGGAACCCTAGCAATTATTGGGTCTAGACTGGAAGTCACCTCAAACTTCATTATTGAGACCATCCAGCTTATAGGATTACCATCTGCATACATCATTATCCTAACCATTGGCTGCCATTTTCATAAGCGTGCAGGTAGTAACATGACGAAGTGCTTTAACTTCAAACTAAATTGCTTCAAATTTTCAGCAAAATGAGCTTCAACATTTAGTCCTATAGGCAAAACATAAGGATAGACCTCATCCTTAAGTTAAAGAAGAATTTACCCTTTCACTTGATATCCAGTTCAGCTTAGCTCTTTTTGACTGTGAGAGAAAAGGAGAAAATGATACAAAAAAGTCAGGCAAGGATTTTTCAAGGCATCCTGGGGGTCTCAGGACCCCCAAGATGCACAGATGGAAGGCCAAAGATTGCTGGATTGAAAATCATGCTACTTGAATATGTTAAGTTGGAAAATAAACATGGACTTTGACTTTTGGGGAATCCTTCAATATTCCCTCGTGCTTCACATACCCCCTTTAATTATCAGGGGAACCATCTATATCAGACCTGAGGGTCCTAGGGACTCCTACAGCAAGAAACCTTGTGCAACCCCTGAACATAGACCAATTGTGAAGAATGAATTCCCACCTATTAAGTGAAATCGTTTAGAAGCTACACTACTACATAATCTAAAACATATATTTTCCTCATTGGAAGTCAGGGAACTTGGCAATCTACTTTCACAGATCATGTCAGTACATAATTCAGGTCAGCTCTGGCTTGTTTTTTTTCTTACATCTATGCCTTCATATAAAAATATGAGTATCATTACCTTCCCACATGGATGAACTGAGAACTGCAATGGTTCAAATTCCTCAATGAAAGTTTCATTCGTAAATGTGAAGTGGATCTGGAAAGGGGATCCTTTTTGTAGGTTGCCAAGATGTTGTGCCCACTGATGAGCACTGATCAAACATTCCTGAGAATCACAGAGTTCAGCCAAGGCAAAGCCAGACTGCCCCTTAACCCCTCGGCATGAATCATAAACCTTCTGCAGGGTTTCATCATCAATGTAGAAGTCCATGGCCTGAACTGCATCACCTGGGTTAAGACATAAAAGTCACAATCACCAGATTGAATGTTTGTGTAACATGACTATGCATACACTTAGCAGACACCAAAAACAAGATGAGTTTGTAAAGGATGGCAAGGCAAATGATGATCACCTTTTTCATGGATCCTGGTTTCCTTGACATGCAGAAAGAGGCTTTGACTAGGAGAGCAGTGTAGTTGACATAGGAGTTCTTGATAATTCTTAAGGCAAGCAGGACAATTTCCTAGGTACTGCTGTGGGAGTGCTAGGCTGAGTTGCAGAGCTGATATTTGATCAACACTGCAGCATACTTCCACTTCCTCTGCACCAGATTCTGTTTCATAAATGAAAGATGTATAGTACAGGATGAAAAAGATGAAGAGCAAGAGATAACTGACACTGTGAGACTCTGTAAGAAATGGGTACTAAATTTGGTTTCTCATTGTGATACTATACCTTCTACACTCCTGCAATCATGAGTTCATGCTAAACCATTACTGCAGTCATGAAACCACTGTGAGTTGCACTGAACAGCTACAGATTCTCCAAGGTGACCCTGAGTCAATATGAGAAAATTATACAGGGTTGTCCAAATAAAGTTTCACTCATCTGAATGCTTCCCATTCCAAGTGGAATAAAAATTTTGTATGCACATCCAATGTAATACAACTTTTTCCTGTTTCATTAAAATTAATCAAAATCAATCATATGGTCAGAAAGTTTTAGTTATTATTTATTAAAACAGTGCATTTTGCATTCCAAGTCACACTGCTGACTGAGGAGGCAGAAACAAGAAAAAAAAAGGCATACATACTGTTTTTTATTATTATAAATAGCAACTAATTCAAGGACAAAATAGACCTAGCATCAGAATTGCTGCTTAATTTGAAGAGGTTTTTCATGTTTCACCCAATATTTATGAACTTGTGAATAGTTTCCTTCACATCATAGCCTCTTTCCCTGACAAAAGGACTTCAATTCCCACTGAATCCAGTGGTAAAAGAGACTCTAAAAAGCCATGAAACAAGTTATCATGAAAAACTCCACAAGTCTTATGACCCAGATAGACTGAGGATGTGTGTGGTGGCTTACACAGGAAGTCTACTCCAAAAAGTTGCTTGAGAATGCAAAATGCCATGTTGCTTCCATAAAAATTATTAGCTGTCTCCTGGTCATGAGATAGATATTGGTCAAATTCATTTTAGTAAGAGTTTTATCATGTCTATGAGCTTGAATTGTTCCTCTTAATTTACTTGGAACCTGCATGGAGTTGAAAAGGTGAAACTTTTTTGGGGCACCCTGTAAAAAAAAAGTCTGACTGTAGGCTTCCCTTGGCCCTCTAATAAGCATGATTTCTGAGTCTTAAACCATCATTATGGCTGCAGTTTATTGCAGTGAAAAGGCTCTGAAGGGCATCTTTAGAAGACAAAATTAATTGGTCTTGATGAAGAAAGAAAAGACTCACCATAGAAGCTAGGGCAGAGGTCTTTGAGCAAAGAGTATGCCTCATGCTTGGAAGAGAGGGGATGGGGAAAGCCTTCATTAGCACAAGGGGCAAGACCTCCATTGGGGCCCTTGCCACAAAAGCCAGTCATCACACATTCTCCTACATCCTGGAGCTGACCTGACCCCAACTGAAGAAAATAAAATTGAAAATAATTTTTTAGCAATGGTTCCTGAGGCTAAGTCAGATATTTGCAAATAAGTAATTGAAGGGAAAGAAATGACTTGCTCTTCCATCTCATATAGCAACTGACTTCAAATCCTCACAAATAGGAAATCATAATGCAGAAGCCATTTCAGAGATGTGGCAGAAAAAAAGATCAATAACTTTTAACCAGTAGAGGAAGGTGGGGCAAAATGGGGTAACTCATTTCATCCAAACCATACCTGGGAAAATTGGAGACATCTAAAATTTTTCCTGCCTGAAAGTGAAAATGTCAAGTATTACATGAAGAAATAATTTTTGGCATAGCTTACTCACGTTTTGGTTGACAGTGTCTTAATCATAGACAGCACTGATGGGGCAGTATACAGGCTCTATATATCTATATCTATTCTCATCTAGCTGGAATATCCATTACAATGGCCACACTCAGGCCAATCTGTGTTACTGTTTAGATTTTTTCTCTCACTCAAAACACAGTGAAGGTTGGGTCAATGTAATTCAGCTCATGACAGCTGTGCAGGCATTGATGACACAGATAACAGGGAAAAAACTATTACTGATTTCACAATGAATCCTAGTTGTAGGTAAGACATGAAAGGTACTACATACAAATCTGCAATGCCAACTCCTTGGCACTAAATTTTGGCAATTTTCCTTGACTACCTTGTTTTGCCCCACCTTCCCCTATATCTCTCAACTCACTGGAGTTATTTTCACTAAAATATTGTGCAAACTAATTTGACTCTAAAAGATTTTTGACATTTCATCTGAACTGATATCATCAATGGAAAGCAATGAACAATTAATCAAAATAAATAAAATAAAAAATGACTGGGGGACTCCCATTCCTTCTGAGTTCCTTGCCCTCCTGCCTTTTTCCCTGATGGGAGACCAAAGGAAAATCTGAATAAACTTTCAGCAAACTCTTTGTTTTGATAGTTACTGATTCACCTGTCATGGTTTTGATGAGCTTCATTCCACTCAATCTACAAGAAAAAGGCCAACCATTTCATTCACTTTTGGCACTGTTTTTCCTTTCAGGTGCTGGGGGCAGGTGAGTCGTTAATTCTTTCCACTTTTCCTGACTTTCTACCTTGATCTGTACTTTAGTCACATTCAGAGAGATGACTACAAAATTATTTGATTTGTTTGACTCAGATCTTTTAAGGCCTTCCCTCATGGTCTGCAGCCAGTTTGTTTGGAGAGCATAATCTGTTGGGCAATGCATTCTGATGGCATTCTAAGCACATGCCCAAGTCATCGAAGCTAGGTCCTTTCTATCTTGCAAAGTAGCAGCTCAACTTGCAGAGAATCCCAAATCATCAAACTTTTGACCCTATTGAGTCTTGTCAGTTCAATAATCCTTGAGGAACCCTATTTTGGCCAATTGCGCTTATGACCTAATTTTTGGGGGCAAAATTCAATATTCATGACCAAAGGTCAGGGTAGGAATGAAGATTGAAAGCTCTGTCTTAGACTTTCTGAACTCAAAGTTAGACCAGTCTAAAAAATGAATTTCAATGGAAGAGAAGTTCCATGCGACCTGGATGATGTGGAAGCAGAGCATTCAGGTACAGTGACCGGCAAAAACGGTCCAATGTTTGGTTTTGTTGTTTTTAGGCTAATAATTTCATGAATATCCAATCAATCTAAACCATGTTTGAAGGGCCAATAGCCTTGCTTCTTTGTTTCCAATACCCATTGGTTTTGTTTTGAAAGAGTAGGTATTTGTGGAGTAATGAGCTCTCACAGGTGTGTGTCATTAGACCAGTTCTGCAACTTGTGTTCAACCAAGTAGAAAAGTGAATTTATTTAGTTTTGATGCGTTTGCCTTTAGTTTTAAACACTTCAGCGACATATATGGGCATGCTCTCAATTAAGTCTATGCACACTTGCGGGAGAATATAGTTCCACTCAGGATTCACATACTTCCATACCTCAAGCATACTGCTTGGTTCATTGTTGTACAATGTCATATGGAGCCACAAATTTTCAATGGAATTGAGGTCTGGGGACTGTGCAGGTCACTACAGAACCTTGATTTGTCGTCTGAACCATTTTCTCGTAGTGCAGGTGTGCTTAGGATTTTTGTCCTGTAGGAAAATGATCTTGGCTGCATCTAGCAGATAGTGTTTGATGGTTTTAAGGAATCTGTCAGAGGATGCTTGTACAGAGCTCTATGTCCATGTGACCATCAAAGCAACACAACTATTCGCCTCTGATGTAGTCGACTAGTTGAATTGATGTAGCCGACTCCTTTGTAGTCATCCACCATCAAACTTGACCGTACCTTATACATGCTACACTGTGAGCACACACTATTCAATTTTTTCTACACTGAATTGCACCCAACAGATCCCAGGTTTGATCTTGGTTTCATCAGATCAAAGGACATGCTTCCAGTCTTCCACAGTTCAATGCTGGTGTTGCCAAGCAAAGTGGAAGTGCTAATGGGCGTGTTTTAGCAAAATTCAGAGCATCATCTCCTTGCATTCTGCCTTCTAGCCGACCTTATTCGGGGCATGATGCACGGTATAGACATTGACCTCCGCTTTGGTATTGTGTTTCAGCACTTGCAGCAGCTGGATGTCAGTATCATCCTTTCCCAAGGTGAACATGTGTACCAACTTAATGCTGGTCAGCCACAGTAAGCTTGATTGGTCAACAAGTCTGGCTCTTCTTCACCATGGGCTTGGTCTTACTATGCATTTTCTTTACTGTAGTATCACCTACACCTAGTTGTGCTGCAGTTTTATACGATGAAATGCTGTCACCAAGCAGAGAAACTATTTTGTTGTGAATAACTCATGAAATGCGTTTCATGTCGTAATGGAGCACTTCTTTCAGAAGAAAGAAGTTGGTAGCAAACTAGAAGATGCAAATGTTTCCTTTTTTAAAGTTTAGGTAAACTAGAATCCATGTGTCACAATTTACAAAGGCCGATTTGTTTGACTGAACTAAAGTCACAAAAATGATCCAATGACATACACATCCGTGAGAGCTCATTACTTACTGAATACCCACTCTTTCAAAACAAAACCAGTGGGCATTGAAAGCCAAAAAGCAGGGCTATCATCCCTCTAAACATGGTTTCAATTGATTGAATATTCATGAAAAATACCAAAACCACAACCTTTGGACCAGTGTTGCTGGACACTGTATGTCTTCCACTTCACTACCTGCATGAGCTCTTGTCCTTTTCCTTTATTGAATTTCTTTTCAATTATTGCTCATAGTCAATGAAATTCAATAAATTTCAAATATATATTGGAAACATTCACTGATGCACAGTAAATGTTTTGGGAAAATAGCTCAAGTGGGAGTAAAGGATCCAGCTTTTTTGTCTAAAAACCTTTGCCTTCCTCTGAAGGGAGGATGGAAATGGATGGGGAGTGAAGCATAAAGAGAGCTTGCAAAACCTAATGAATGATTCATTACTGCAAATTCATTGGAAATAAGGATTACTTCTGAATTGGACAACAATGGAAAGGTATCCATGGCCTGAACATCCAATGACATTTACCCCAGACTTAGCAAAAGCCACAGTGAAAAGCAAAATTGAAACAATTTTTTCTTTTAAAGATTAACCATCAGGCATCTGCTCAAGCTTCTATATTGATGCCCTCTACTGCTCCAGTAAGGAAACAGTTACCATCACCCACGATGAGGACAGGAATAATATCAATGTCTTATGTGCTTTGCAGTTACTTATTGGTCAACATAGCCAGTATCCAGTGGCTTAAGCAATCCATTTTCAGAAGCTCACAAAAGACAATCACTGTTGTGAATCTGTTTCAACATTTTAAAGTTTTGCTATAAAAATTTCATAACTGTGTATGTGATATTACAAAGACTTTGCACATCTTGTTATATATAGTTTAGTACTGTTTCAGATATAGCATAAAATATTCCCAAGTTCACCAAAATGATTTTGGTAAATGTGATTTGCATGGAGCTGGAGTTCAGTTAGAATCCACAGAGCAAATAATATAGCTGTATAACTGCATTACTTGCAGTAAGTAGTACACACACCAATCAAGAGATTCTCATACAGTGTCACAAAAACATCAACTGCACTGAAAAAAAAAATTATTCTCATTTATTCCATGGTAATCTTAATCAAGTAAGCAAATGCTTCCTACCTAGACATCTTGGAAACCATTTCCCTTTGGAAATGAAAATGTCTATTACCAATATCCTTACTGTCTTAAATCATGCAAGTGAAATTTCCCCATTATATAAACAGGGAAGAAATGCATGAAAAAATGCAAACATGTGAAATGCATGCTCACTTGAACATATGAAAAGAGAAACCACTTCAGATGAGAAAAATATATATTATTGAGTACACAGCCTATGAATCCCTATCTATAACCCACTCCAGATATAATACTTATCTCCATTTAATTGAGGGAGCAGATTAGAAATAGCAGATTCATGTGATGAAAAACCTCCCTCAACCTGTTATGTAAATCCATAAGGCTACATACCATTTAATATGGGATGAAGCATAAATCTATATGAACACACTATTTATAAATAAAAACTCTGAGAAAATGCCATACATTTACATGCTGAGGATATAATGCAACCATGCACACAACATAGACTTTCCCATGTATTCATCTCAATTCTTGAAAGGCAAGCATCACATCATCCCTCTTCAAAGAAGGACTAAGCTGGTTCCCTTTCAGCAAGGAATCTCTTTTCTATCTCTACAGTCCTTTTCATGTTGAGGCTCTGACCATGAACATTAGCATCAGTTATCTATGAGAATTATGTTGAAAACAATAACTCTCAGTTAACCCTTTTGCTGCTGCCAAGGGTTGCAGTGCATACCCAGCTTGTGCTGAGGGGCAGTGCGTAAGAATATGTTAACCTTTACATGTCAAGCATTTCCATATTCAAACAGATCATATCAGTGGAAAATTTCTAATTTTGCCATACTCAACGACCATGAAATCTTCCCTTCCACACCTATTAAAAGATTCCATGCTCTCCAGATATAGCAAAATTAGAATTTCTCATAAATGCTGTTTCAAATATGGTAAAATTTACATTTTCCACTTTCATGCTCTGTTCAAATTTAGAAACATTCAGAGTGTAAAGGTTAATTGAATTTTACTTTTGCCTACTGATAGTACTAAAGAAAATATAATATTTTCTTACAGGAAAGGAGGCCCACTAAAAATGAAAATTTTGATGCTTTCCCTTCACAATAGAATTGTGAAATTTCATGTAAACACATCCAAAAGTAAAAAAAAAACTTGTGATAATTGGTTAAGAAAAGTCTGTTGGTAGAAAGACTCTTTAAGGCACTTTGAGTTTTACCTAAAAATGCACTTTTGTTGCTAGCTGACAAATGGCAAATTAGCCCCAATGAAGTTAGTGATATAGAACTCTGTGATGCTTTGTGGCTCCAGAATCTGACTCATACCATAGCTTGAGATCCTCATTTTCAAAATGTTCCTCCTCATCAAATTAGAAAGATATGGGACAGTATGGTTCATTCCTAGATCAGTGACCAAAGCACAGTGTCAACCAAAGGCAGTTCCTGTCAATTTGGATTCTTCCCATCATCCAAGTAGTTTGGCAAAGGATAAAAGTTATCAGTGAGTCTCTTCACAGTACAACTCAAGCCATTGGGATCCGGTTCCAGGAGTATCAGGAGAATGATGCAGCAAGATCTCTAAATGTGTCCCTACAGACTTTATCCATCATCAGAGCCAGCTGCTTATCTGACAAGAGTCCAGATGTGTTAGATCTAGCAAGGGTGGCACCCCCTTAATGCAAGATGTGATATTCACTAATGAAGCCAAATTCAAAATCAGGAGTTATACAATTACAAATAATGTAGTCATCTAGGGAATTGAGCATCTACCATGTCACTGACAAGTTTTGATGCAGAGTGCTGGTGTCTCAGTATTCTGTGCTCTTGGACTTGATTTTCTGTTGGGATCACTTTTTCCTTTTGGACAATCTTGGGGATTGGTTGACTGTTTATATCATGAGGTACCAAGGTTTTCTGGAGAATCAAGTGTTTTCAGTTACTGACATAGCTGTGGGGCTTATGCACAAGAAAGCCTGATGTCAACAAAATGGGACTATCCCTCATATAGCACTAGTTAACCACAAAGTTCTGCAGCCCCAGTTTCAGAGAAGCTGGATTATTGGAAAACATCTGATCATCCCTTGGGCTGCAGGTCACTAGACCTGATCCCCTAGGACTTTTTTCCTTTGGGGTACCTGAAGAATAAGATGTATGAACAAACCCTGTTTGCTTCCATTCCAGCCCTCAAGATGTGAATTCAGCAGTCAGTGCAACAGCATCCATGGTGATCCCAGATTTCCATGAATGATAGACAAGGTGAACTGGGCAATTGTAAACAGTATGAGGGACTGTGTTGCCAAGAATAACAACCAAATTGAGGCATGCCACTAACAAGTGGGTTAGTTATTTTGTCATGCAGTGCTAAGTAAAGTTTGTTTTGCACCATCAGTCTGTCATTTTCTCATTAGAAAGCACCAGAAAAAGCTTTATTAGTCTTCTGAAACGGGCAGCCAAATATTGCATTTGTATCAATAATTGCAAGTTTCTAAAATGTGTACCATATAAAAACTTGCAATTTTTACTATAAATGTGTAAAATTTCATGATTAAAGGGAAAGCATGGATATTTTCTTTTTTCGTCAGATTTTTATATTCGCCAACACCTCAAAGAACTCCTATGCTCAAACAATATGCTTAAAAATCACCAAAATCAACTCCAAACTGATCCTCCAAAGATTACGTAAGTTCTACTGCCTCTGATAAGGGCAATGGGTATGAAGGGTTTATGATAGAATGTCAATTACAAACACAAACAACAAATGACAAAAATGTAAACGTCATTGGATGCCGTCAAAGGTGCTTCACGTCAAGGCAACACCTGCTAGAATCGGTTGCCGTCTGAAACATAAGTCTAAGCTTCCTCTATTGGCGTGCGCATTTGTAGTGAGTACGAGGCTTGAGTTGAAGTTACATTTTCAGCTATACTCTCTTTTACTTCTAGCTTATCATGGCTCAAGTGAGTTTTCCGAAAATGATCTCTACACGGAAGGCTTGAACAGGACCGTGCTCCTGAAGAGAATCCTGCTACTCAGATCCCAAAGGTTCCTTTCCTTTCATTCTTCTCTTTTCTAATTTCAAGAGCATCCCATTTAGGAGTTGAGTACTTCGGTTAACCAGCTTCAGGATCACATCTCTTTATACTCTCGGTTGCGTTGTGCCTCCTTTCGTTTATTTTCAAGTATAGGATGAGTCACGACTCATGACTACTCATGGGGAGAGATGAGGCAGCGAAGGAGCTACAAATCGCATATACGCGATTACCTCTCACAGGAAGTTTCCAAGAATCATTGCGACTTCCTCCTTAAATCAATTGATCTGCAAAAACGGGGATCGCTAGAGTAAACACCATGTGAAAGACCGCGCAGCTCTTCTCTCAAGTTTCTTTTTTCGTATGCCAGTGACGTCGAGGCTCTCCTCATTCAGGAAAGAGATCGATCCGAGACCCAAAACACACAGACCTCCTTCAGCCCATCCCTAGCCTTCGCGTGGTTCCCGCATCCTTCCCTATTCCCCTTCACGTATCCTTTCCCCAAGGTCAATCCAATGGCTAACTCATGCTCCTCCATAATCTCCGTGTCCCACAATTGATTGACGGGCTCTCCCCGCATATCCGGAGCCGGGATAGGCGCTTTTCAATTCCGGAAACCCTCCCATAACTAAGGCCGTGGTTGCTGAATGAATTTGCTGAATTACTTTAAAGGCTTCATGGAGGAAAGGCATGAAGACACGAGAGCCTCCCTGGGTCACCATTCCCAAGGTCGAGGTGAAATCGATAAGCAACCACACCTCTCAGGTCAGAACACGACTGGAAATGTGTAGAAAAGTCATAAGAGAGAGAAAATGAGCGAAGAGTTAATACCCTGAACACTTCAAACCTAGAACAGCGGTCAATTGTTCTCAATCACTAACGAGGGAATTCCCTATCAGGCACAGTTTGTCTATTTGTCCTCGCTTTTCACACAGTCTACCCACAGCACCCATTCATACTGTCATTCCCAAGGTTGAATGCGCAGTTACCTTCACTGGCGTTTGGCCAATGCTTCCCATGCAACAGGAGCTGCTTGGCACTTATACAATAATCAAGGTATGGCAAAAATAGATCGAGAACTTTTAACAAATATACCTCCGTTCTCACTGGATCGATTTTCATGACACTTTTACGGTGCATACATGGATATGTCTCCAACATATCTTCAAAAATCTGAATTTATTGTTCCGATGCAAGGTAATGAGCAATAGTTAAAAAGATGTATAATAAAAATGGAAAAGAGCCTGTGATGTCGGTGAAGTGACGGGCACGCCTAGCTAGATGAGACTCCAAAAAAGCTAGAGAACAAATATGAGAACAAGCGCGAGAGGTCGCACAGAAACGCATACATGAAGAAAATACAAGGAGTCCATAGGGACTATCTACATAAATACCTAGAGACCCTACATAAATTTGCCCTTGACCTAGAAGTATGAACTTCCTGAGAGAAAAAACACACTAAAGTTGCCTTTCTTTCTGGCCCTCTTCCCGTAGAGAAACACGCAACTCTTCATTGAGTAACCCAAGGATAATAGAAAGAAAGGTTCTGGCATTGATAGTCCTCTTGGTTGAAATCTTACGTCTACCCAGCCAGTTCAATGAGGAAAGAAAACTACATTCGTTCACGAACTGATTTCGGAATCCCGCTCCTTCCCTTCTTTTTTGGTTCCTCATTATGTACTGGTATAGAAATAGGCATGCGGGAATGCAGATGCGAACGACCTCGAATAGACGTTACCCTAATAAGTAATGACATACAATGAACCATACTATGTAGCACCAGAATCCTTAAGCTCAACGTTTTTTCTTCAGTCTTAAGAATGTCATGCTTCAAAAATACTAAATACACATGGCGTTCTGAGGGAAAAAAAAAAACTGGTCCAGAATTTTCTAAGCCACAGGAAACAAGGTTTCTTTTCTTGCAAACCAATGCATAAAATTGCACCCAGCTTTTCTTCAATAAAAAAAAGTCTTACCAGAAGAGTATCATTTCCGCTGTGGGGAATATTGCATGATATTACTCTTTGTCTACCTTCTTGGTTAAAAGAATTAAATCGGTATGCCTGCTTGGGTATACCTTCTCCCCAATGAAAAAAAAGGTAGAACTAGAGATATGGTCCTTCAGAAATTCCAATACTTAGTGTTTTTCAAATGGCATAACTTTAAGGTTAGCTTCCACCATGGGTTCACTGGAGGACTCACCTGAATGAGAGAGATCACAAGCGCGAAGAGGACTGGCCAAATGTTTTCATGGGTAGCCATCTTTGTTCTTATAGCACCTGTCATAAAAATAATTGGGCCTAAGATTAGCAAGCCTTTCTTCAAAATAAGGATTACTGACAGCCAGCTATCACTGACCACTGTCATCTATTGATTCAAACACATCTCAAAACATGAACCACATCTCTTTAGCCTGTATAAACATATACTGAAGCTTACCTATCTTTGGTCTGCTGCCTTGACTATGAGCAGTGTCTCATGTCATGGAGAGGTATAAGGTCAAGAGAAAAACACAAATAGTAACAGAACAAGAAGGGGGCTATGTCAATCTATCAGACTGGCACAACAGAGTTGAATCAGGCTGGTCTGCTTTTCTTGAAGTGCCCTATTCCTTTCAACAGATGTTACTGGACCAACTGGTATAAGTTCCTAGGGCTGGCAGGATACAGATCCAACCTGTCATAGAAAATCAATGTCATTGCAACTTATTAAAGTTTTGTTCAGAACTACAGCAAACATTGGCTCCAGTTATGATACATTGAGTTCATGTATATATAGGCATACTATCTTCACTGTCCATCCTATATAACTATGGGTGTGCATCAAGCATCAGATACATTAAACTTCAAACAGAAACTGATTTCAGAAGGGAATTCAATGGAAATTAGATTAACTTGAGCAAATCAGCTTATTGTAGTTACTGGAAATCTAGTTAAATTTAATTTAAATGAAACCCACAAGCATAGACAATTGGTAACTGCTACTTTGTCACTCTCAACGTGCAGAAAACAAATTTCAATCAACAAGGAAAATTCAACAGTTCCCTGCAGGAAAGATGCCTATTCTCCAGGGTGACTTGGTGAGAGGAGGCATGTCAGATTTTTTTGTATCAATAGCACAGGAGATTTTTTGTTTTATATACAAAAACTAGGTGGATGTCCTTGGTGTGAGTAGTAGCTGCCAATGCTGTATCACTGCTCACAATACCTCTCTTAAACTTTCTACTCAGGAGGACCCATATGGAAAAATCATATATTTCATAAGAAATAGGCACATATGATAAATGGGACATATGAGGGCATATCATATAATAAGGTTCCCTATTTTTTTTTTTTACACAAAACTATCAGAGCTCGCAAAATAAAGATTCCATACTTTTCTCTTTTTGCCTATAGGTGTCAACATGCTTGTCTACCCTTTAGCACGTTTGCAGTAAATATTACAAATGGTGTCCCTGTAAGAATTAGGAAGCTTTATTTTTTGATACCCCCTCATATATGGTCCAATATACAGGGTGTCCACATGAAAGCTCACTTATTTGTGTGGACCATTACAGGGAAAGTAAACGACTTAGGATGAAGAGAGTGACACCAATAGAAAGAGCAAATCAAAGAATTTATTGCAAAAAATCAGTACACCTCTACATGTTCCATACGTCCGTCAGAACAGACGCTGCACCGTAATGACCGATTCATGCTTAGCGAACCCCACCACAACTTGCGCTTTCTGCTGGTTGGACGCCATTTTTACTTCTGCGTTCCACAGCACCACCGCCAGGATACTGACGCTGGCGTGAAATTGAAATCTTAAATTCTTTGAGTTGCTCTTTTTATTGGGGTCACTCTCTTCATCCTGTCTCATTTACTTTCCTTGTACTGCTCCACACAAATAGGTGAGCTTTCATGTGGACACCCTGTATATATTATATGAGCATATATGGGAAAATACATCTGAACATATATTCTTATATAAACAATGAGTATATGATCATATATAACAAGGCCATATAAGAATTTTTATAAAGAAAAGTATGCATGTAAATGATGTGGAGGAACAGATAAGATACTTGTATGACTTAGTATGGCTATTTGGTATATAGTGGGGCATATGTGTCACACCTGATAGAGACATGACCAAATCAGGTATGAAACATACAAGAAATCATGTTACTCTCACAAGTATCTCCCAAATGTAAAAAAAAATTCAGGAAGTAAGCTAAGAATTTGCACTTCATCTGTCACCTTTGTGAAAATACAAAAACCATTCACTTCCAACACATCACAAGTACATCCCAAATATATCCCAGAAATATCTCCTTGGGACAAGTGAGAAGTCCCAGAGATAACTACTAGAGGCTTCTCAGCAACATCAAAATATCTGAGTGTCTTTCTTTCTGAAACAGACTCACTTTCTGCTATACAGAGCAACCCTTTATTTTCAATGGGTTGTTTCTTATGGTGTTCAACTGAAGATGTCTAATAGATATCTCTCTTAAATCCTGAAGACCTCCCTTTCAAGATGTCAGAAACCATCCTACTGAAGATGTCCTTAAACCTTTCTGCATCCACATTTGGAAAAAAAAATTTATCATCAAAGTGTACATTGTAGGGCAACCTGTTGGAAAACTTTTCGTTTTAGCACTGCCTATTCTTTAGAATGTGGTTAGGTGGTATTCCTTCCTAATATTATCATAGTGTTTATGTTTTCATCATGCTTGGATGTGACAAGCATGTTTTTCTGAGTGTGAAGAAATTGAAGATATGTTTGAGAATGGTTCATTTTCTACTGTGTCACAGGGTGAGTGTTATTAGCAATATTGCCAGAGAACTGTTAGAACTTTACATATCACCTAGCTAAATGGGCAGTCTTCTCTGAAAGCTTTGTCTGTTTATTTTCATTAGTTTAAATTCTTGAGTAGTTTTAGTGCTGTTAGTACTAGCAGCTAATTTTCAAAACATTTGGACACTGGGAAGTTCTAGTGCATCTAGGCTGGATGATAAAAAGGTCAAAATATCCCATAAAGACCAAGGTCTTTATGGGATATTTTGATTAGATGATTCAAATAATAGCCAATTCAATATATTTGTATCATTGAAGATGTTTGCATTGCCAATCATACTAGAACCAAGCTACACTCTAACAAATGGAAGTACCCAAAACATGTGTCTCTATAACCATTAAATGTCACAATGCCTTCTGAAATTCACAATTCAGTCTTCAGTTTTGAAATTCATTAATGGGTTTTTTGTGCATCATGTAGGTTTGTCTGTGTTGTGGGTAACCTCAGTATATCGCAGTAGACAAAGATTACCATTTGGTTTGATACCTTGAAGAGCGCAGTTTTGAAGCAGAGAAAATTTATAAATTTCTTCCATTTGGATCTGAATGTCTTAGTTCCAGATAAGACCATTAAGGCAATTCATTATATGTTTCTTAACCCGAAGGGACCTATCGGCGGACCTAGGACAACCGAGATATGCTGAAACAGGCCATAAGAGATGCCTTCACCTCAGAAGGACCAGAGATGATTGAAACAAAGTCTGCTGGCATTCAAAGAGAGACTGTACAGAGTCGTCAAAAATTGTAGAAGTCATACTGAATGCTTGTGATTTGGGGGGCTTTCATTTGCAAGGATGTATCTTTGTTTTAATCTGGTAAACAATCCAGATACTTTTCAAAATAAAAATATTTTGAACTGGCTTTCATTTGAGCCATATATCATTGCAATTGGATGAGTACTTCCTAAGTAATAAGCTTTCATTTTTGGGGCAACAATTGTGGACCACCCTCAATATACAATAAATAAAAGTCCTTTATAAAATAAACACACCAAAGGCAAATACATCATATATGCAGAAGCCCATCCCTCAAACCACAGAATTATTTTATATAGAATATACAGGGTTATCACAGTATATGAGGAATGATTTTAAACGCATATATCTCGAAGATGGCTTAACCTAGAGAAGTGAATGTGGCACCATTTTAAAGCCTTTTTTTCTATCTTTTTAGCTAACCAACTTACAAATCTGTCATGAATATTACTGTCACTGAAAAGATGAAAAGAGCAGCGATACTCTCGGCCCTTAGCGCCAGGAGGACCCCCAAGGAAATTGCTGAGTTCCACAAGGTCACTTTGTCTTTCGTCTACAAGATCAAAGGCAAGGTTGACGATGCTGAGGACCCGGACAACATCTCCACAAAGTGTAAGAAGCATGATCGTTGCTCCGACACCATCAGGACCCCCAAGTTTGTTGCCAGAGTGCAGGAGATGGTGGACAATGACCCCAGCAAGTCGATGAACTCCTTGTGCAAGGAGTTGGGCATTTCATATGGTACCATCCACCGTGTTATCCATGAGGATCTATGCTACAACTCCTATGTCCTCAAGAGAGGCCAGTTCATGGACTCAGCCAAGCAGGAGAGGTGCTTGACCAAGGCAAAGAAGCTGCTTAACAAGGTCAAGCACCCCGAGAAAGATAACCTGTTGAAGTTCTTCTCAGATGAGAAGAACTTTTACCAGGACCAAAAGGTCAACAGGAGGAACGACAGGTGGCTGTGCAAGGACCCTGATGACATGCCCAGGGTAATGCACACGAAGTTCCCTGCCACTGTCATGGTCCTCAGGGTCATCTCCAGCAAAGGGGACGTCATGCTCCCCCACTTCTTTCAGAAGGGCCTGAGGGTCAACACGGTTGAGTACATCAAGGTGCTGAGGGACGTAGTGAAGCCCTGGATGGACACCATTGCCAATGGGAGGCCTTATGTCTTCCAGCAGGACTCTGCTCCTTCCCACAAGGCCAAGGTGACGCAGGAGTGGCTCGAGGAGAGCGTGCCCTACCACTGGTCCCTGGACGTTTAGCCTCCCAGCTCCCCCGACATAAATCCCTTTGACTACTATGTGTGGGGTGTTGTTGAGAGGGAGACTAATAAACATCCCCACAACACCCTCGACTCTGTCCGTCAGTCCATCACTGACGTCATGACCAACATGGAGAGGGTCCAGGTTGCCAAGGCCTGTAGCCGGTTCCACTCAAGGATTGAGGCCGTCATCACTGCCAATGGCGGGTTTATTGAATAACTGCAAACTGTATATCAGGATCTGATAGTGTGGAAAACTTCATTTTACTACATGCATTTTTTCCCATGTAAATTCATTGTTTTTCTTCATTAGTAAAAATTCCTCATTTACCGTGATAACCCTGTCTATGCTGTCCGGGTATGTTTAATATATATATATAATCCAAATACAGATCATGTGCTTCAACTACATATGCCCTTATATTTCAAGACATGAGAAATACATGAATTTATAAGGCACAAATAATTGCATATAACTACCATATATGAAGCTCTGGTGATCCCTCCTGGAGAAGATAATCACTCTTCATTGTGAAAAGACCTGAGTGATGTGACTGATTTTTATTCCTGAGATTAACTGGAATGATATCAGAAAATTAAAATCAATGTGTTCATTCCACTTCCTTGGCTGCCTTTGATGCTTGAACCTATCCCTGGCAGGAATAACCAAATGTTTTGGGATCTCCACTTGAATTTGAGTGGGCAACAGGGAAAGGGTTAAGTTAGGCCTGTAAATTTAGTTCAATTAAGTTTAGATTTCTCTGGACTAATAAAATTTAACAGTTGCTCAAAGTGGAGTAATAAAATATACCTATTCTGTGTATGTGGTGAAAGGGATTTCAGGACTACTTGAATGATTCCTCTCACTTGATGCCATAAAGACTGCTTTTATGCCATGCCCTTGTAGTATTCTACATGTCTTGGAATAGTACTACTGTCATACTATCAGAATCGACACTGCAAAAAAATTGATAAAAGCTGGTAACTATGATTAAATATAAAGTTTTGCAACAATAACATGACAAATTTCTTGCATAACAAAGAAATATGATTACCATGACATCAATAATCACTCCCTATAAGATCTGAATTTAAAAAATTAAGCTTTCTCAATAAGAAAACCAGTAGATGAAAACAAAACTATTTTTCCATCTAAGTATCACATCTAGCATTTTTCCAAGCCCAAAATGGCCAGCCCAGGGGATGACCATGTTGTTTTGTCCCCCTCTGAAACTACCAGTTTTCAAGGTTCAAGTTATGGTAAGAATAAATCTTCAGTAATGGAAAACTGGTACATAGGCCCCCCCCACCCCAAATGTGACACGCTTAATCATTCATGTTGCAACTTGACTCAAATGGGTACACTCCACAACTCAAAAGTGGAATTTTCCCCTCTTGCCCTGTAATCTCTACTGCCAAACTCAGCTGTCCTTGTGACTAATGTCTACCAGATATGTTCACATTCTGCAACCATCCATCTCCATGAGAGAAATGCATATAGATGAGTAATCAAAGGTTTTTTCTCTCCTGAACATGAATAAGACTTAGATATTTCATAAGACAAAGTGGGGTTTAACATTTTAAATAAAATCATGCAAGCAATCAAAAGTCACTACCACAAAAATATTTTGTTTCTGTTTATGGAAGGATGTAAGAGATTGTGGCAATCCTTGTAACAGAAACCTGTACCTTCTTTCCTTATTGCACAAACATGTATTTCTCTTATATTTTTGCATTATCTTGCCTTTGCAATCAACAGCTAACAGAAACAATAAGCTGGGGACATCCTAAGAAGATGGTATTAAGGAAAGTCATTACAGCATGTGATCTACTTCCTTTGCATCAAAGCAAAGTGGTATAGTCTGCTGCTGGAAAGCTGAATGCTGATACATTCCAAGTCTCCATGTACATGCATAAACCAGGAATTGAATATACTCGCTGATTCTCACATCAACCTTTGGATCGAACGATAAACTGAACATGCATTCAGGTCTATCTCTTACAAGATAATCAATCCAAACTGGTGGGGTATTACCCTACCATTAACATATTCCTGAAGGAAATCCTACACTAAATCATGTATGAACTAATAGTTCTGTAAAACAATTTCTTTATAGATACTCTACAACTGAAACATGATCATTTCAGTGTATGGTAGTACTCAGATTTCATGCTTGCACTTCTTGTGATCAAGACTCACAGGAAGTGGGAAGGAACTTCAGTAAAATGAGTTCAATCACAAACCATCAAGCAACTGATACTTTTACCCTAAGCATTCTTAAGTTACTCATGCCCAAAAATTGATGTCTTGCTTTTTTTCCCCATTTCAAAGAAAGTTTTGTCATGCAAAGATGGATCTTCAGAAGCTATGGAATATTTACACAAAATCACACCTCTCAATATTCTGCAGCTTAGTTACTAGAGCACAAACAGACACACAACATAATACAATATAGTCAATGCACATTTTTGCATGCACTCAAGTTTAGCCTTCAATTGGTAAGCCATGGCATACCTAACTCTGATTTGAAATTCTTGACCTGTCAATGCTTCTCCTTAGTTCTTCAGGATGCAAAACTGACAGAGATAGGAGAGAAGGGTCCTGAAAAAGCCAAATACAGGATTTTGTCCTAGATATGAATGAGCTTTAGGAAGCATTGGATCAAGCCAATAGCTATGGGGAAATGTTCTATCAGTAATGGAGAGATGCAGTATGCAAATGGTATGAAGGGTGGTTGTCTGGGTAAAACCTTTTTTGCTAGATCCTCCCAAATGAAAATCCTAACATGTCAGTGATGATGATGCACAAATATAGAAATTTTCATCACCTCACTTTTTTCACATTCCACGCAGTGGGAATTTCTTCTATCGGCCCTCATACAAAAACTGCCATTCAAGCTCTTTCTTTAAAGACATAAGCCTATATCATGCCTTGCAGCCTTAGGCCTATGGTCATCAAAATGCTGCGGAGATTGGTCCTAATGATGCAGCAAGCAAAACAGCCTCACAGTAGTTTTCAATGGACTACAACAAGCTCACGGCTGATTGAACTCCAAACACGGGATTATGTAGGCCCCGTCAACTGAAAACTGTCTGGCTCAAATTTCACTTGAGTCCGACAAGTTCTCCTTACTCCAAATAAACTGACAAACATTCTAGTTTATATGGAATCGGCTAAGGCACACCGTAAGGTTACAGTAAATGTGGAACATGAACAATCTCAGGAATGGACGACCACACGGAGCATACTGAAACCCCAGGTGCGGATCAGCGCCGGTGACTAAACGCACTACGCAGCCTGCGGGCCGCCCTGATTGGTCGATCGATGTGGGGAGAGATGAGTCGAGTTGGGGGTCCCAGCACGGAGTATAACGTCTCTCCTTGCTGCTTCCTCATTCGTCTCTAGTTTCGCCATGACTACTAGAGCCCCTGAAATCGTATCTTTGATCCTGACATCTAGCGGGTAAAAGTTGGACTATTAGAAGTTTTTATGTGGCTTCACCAGTCGAAGGACTGAAGCGAGTCGCACGACCTAGTTCTATTGTTAGTCTGCAAGCTATTGCAACGTGTCGCTGATGGCAACCAGGATATGAAGTCCTCGCGAGTAGTTATATACCATGTGATTGAAAGGTGGCTCCTGCTGTTCCTGCCTTTCGATGCAGTTGATAAATTATTTGAGTTTTCCAAGTAACCCGTAATATCGCCAGTCAGTGGCGTATTTTGGCTGAAGGGTCAGGGTGGACAGGGCAACAGCGCGGGGGCGCCAAACCCCACCCGAGCGATACCAGGTGGGGAAATTATTACCTCCAAGGGGGCGCCAGGGGGGGGGGCTGCCCCCTCTGCCCCCCCTAAAAATACGCCACTGGTCAGTCATTGGCATGGATGCTCTCTCTTGGCCCAATGATGGGTTGCTAAATTGGGTATATATCGGGGGAAAATATGAGAATACGGTATAGGTCCCACTCTTCAGTGATATACAGCGAATATATGCAGTTTAGAGATGCAGTCGTAAGCACACCTTACCGCCTACTGGGACAATCGTAATGTCGAATCAACATGAAACATCCATGACAAAGTTTGATGAAAATGCGAAACTTTTAAAGCACTAATAGACAACGTTCAGGGAACCATGATTACGTAGTAAGGAAGAATGCCTTTCTCATGCAATAATTCGTCAGGAAAATGAACATTTAGTTAGTATATATATCTTTCTTGGTCTCTTTTACCATGCGACACCACTTCTCGAAAATCATCTAATATATCAACCCCATTTTCGCCGACCATTTGAAAGGTACACAGCGATTTTTCCATTGAATTCACCCTTCCTCCCCCTTACTCCGGCGGAAACGAGAAGTACTTCAGTCCCAACTCAGTCACTCATATAGCGAAAATATTTTTTTAATTATATCATTCTTTTGAGAAAGCATATATCGCTCTAGTACTATGACATGTCGCGTCATTCAGACGGGGCTGGGGATGAACGCGACCGAACACCGCAGTACGAGTGAGTTCATCATCACTCTCAACTCCAAGAAGCTCCAGCGAAGCAAAGGAGGAAAGACCTTGAGAGAGTTTCGTCGTTTAACCGATCTCACAAACGAACCTCCACCAAAGAGGCTAAACGAACGCGTGCCAAAATTGCCCCTCGAGCATCAACGCATGACGTCACGCGCTAAGGGATTCGTCCTCGAGAATGCCCGACGACCCGCTGAGAACATTCCAAGCCGAAAGGATGCCAACTGAAGTAACGGTCACGGCATTGTGTTGCCTCAGCCACAGTTCTGATTCCTCGTATTCGATCGTTCCAATGTCGCATAGGAAAAGCCCGGGCGCTCGACATCGGTTCAATGCTTCTCTCCATGCATCGACCGATGTAGACATATATAGCGTTTTCAATATCCGATCGATCCTGGACTCGGTCTTGGTCTAATATTAATACGAACGAGGGCTCCTCGGTAATTCTTTTTACGCGTCAATCTCCCTTGACCTCAAAACGCCATTCTCTCTTTCCCAAGTAGTATCGACACCGATTGACACTGGTTGAGTTTACATCAACCTTTAGGGAAGGATCTCGATCGCTTCCGTCAAGAGAATTCCTTGAGTAGACAGATCAAATCAATCGAATCACCGCGAATGCGACATTTCAAGAAGACGAGCGACGACGCTCCCCCCATTCCCCCCCCCCCCCCCCCCCCCCTCTCCCCCCCCCCACCCCCCCCCTCCCCCCCCCCCCCCCCGCCGCCCTTTTCCGCTCACGCTTGACGTCACAGAGTGAGTCACTCGTTTGATCGACTGACTCGACTTCAGGGGGAGCTCTTGCGGCGCCGGAGTTCCGTGATGACTCGCGTGCAGTCATGGCTCATGCGAGTTTGGATTTCCGTAATCGGTAATTCTAATTTCCAGATTTCATGAAAGATTCCTTATAATAAAAAAAAAGAAGACCCTCGGGGATTCGAGGCGAAGTCTGCCGCGGATTCACCGAGAACCAGATATCGAATCGAAGGACGGCTGCAGACGGAAACTCATTCATTCGATTCGGGTGAGAATGTCTTTTTCGAATGCTTTAGACCAGGGATGTCGAACTGAAATCGGTCGGCGGGCCGCACTCCTTACCCTGCAGATGCCTACGGGCCACACCCATAATTTTTCCCCGAAATTTGTGCGAAGTCAATCCGAGCGGAAATTTCAAGAACAAACGGCAGGCCGGATGAACCATCTCCGCGGGCCGGATCCGGCCCGCGGGCCGTATGTTTGACACCCCTGCTTTAGACGGTGGATGAGCATGGACTTTTTTTTTTCTCGCGACCGCGAACGAGGATGTGGGAAAACGCGCGTCAGAGAAGACGGAATCGCAGGAAGAATTTCACAATTTCACCCCCGCAAGCCAAGACGATGACCGAGCCGATTTTCTTGCAGCGTCCCCGTCGTTGATCGCCCTCGCGAGAACTGCGGGCACCCGGCGACTCCAGGGGAAATCGACTGAGAAAATTCGCGATCCGCCCGCGCCGTTCGCGGTCGGGGGCACCCCGAAATCCGTCTCGAGCTGGCGTCGGCACGGATTCCGATCCGACCGTTCCCAAAGCACCGACGTCGCATCCGCGCTTTGCGTTTTCTACGTAAATTGGGCCAAGGCCGAGGACATCGCATGTCGTGTAGTCATCAGTAAGTCAACTGGCATCGGCAGCAAGGATTCCCTTCGTCTCTGGATTCAGCATTTCCCCATCGAACCCCACGAAAGAATCTTTCCCCTCCCGCCTTTCCACGAAGCCCAACCGTAAAGAGATTCCGCCGGCGTAGGCACGTCGGCGGCACGCCCTCGACCGCGCCGACGCCAGCGCCATCTTGCGGTGAAACTCGTCCCTCCGCGTCCTCCTCGATCTTCTCGCCGGGCGCAGTTTCCCGATGATTCGATTCAATTTGGAATGCCTCAGCGGACGTCCAGCCATTGAGCAAACGATCTTTCGTCCTTGAAACGGTGGTGCGTCACCCGACGGTGGAAATAAACGCTCGGAAGCGCCGCGTCACCAGCCTCGTTCGACCGAGCCCGTTCGTTAACGAAGCCGTTTTCTTTCAACACGCCATCCGGTTCCGTCGCAAACAGATTTGTGCCAGCCTCGGGGAGTCTAAAAGGGGGAATCGGTCCGATCGCTGCATGCATATCTCCTGGAAACAAAAAAAAAGGAAGGAATATTTTTATGTTCTCCGGCAACATGATGACGTGGTTTCGAGATAACTCCACGTTGCTTCGCCGTATCCATTTTATTATACGGAATGCCTGCGCGGATATCTCGTGATGTAAAAGGATCGGAGATATGCGAACCGATCTGCTTTAAAAACGATCCTCAATTTCCCTAAAGCCTTTCCTTCCGGGAGCGCACGAAAAAGGCAAATGGAGTTTTCGTCGAGAGTGCACCCCAAAAGACCACCTTGGAATTCTTACGAAATAATCACCGAGGGAAAACCGAGGTGCATTTCCGCGAATTATCAAAATTCTATCACCACAGCACACATAAGCTAAGTGCATTCTCAAGTTCCTCGTTTTCGAACTGGCGCAGCCCGATATATATATATATATATTTTTTTTTTCTCTCTCTCTCTTTACGAAGCTCGGAACGAGCTACCAGCCCACGTGAAACGCGAAGCATTTTCTTGGAATAATTTTTCAAACCGACTCGAAACTTCCTCCGGCGGCCGACCGGTTCCCGACTCGAGTTTCGACGGCTAGACTGCATTCCCCGCACTCCGATACCTAAGGTCGATATCGAAAACGATCTCGTCATCTGCACGTTCGTCTCCGTCCTTCGCCCGTGTCGTCGAGTCAAGGGAGTCAAAAGGAAGTCATGGGAGGCAGAGAAGCAGAAAGGCATTGCCAAGGTCGTTGGGGGGGGGGGGGGGAGGGGGGAAGGGGGGAAGGGGGGAAGGGGGG